ACCTATATGTATCTTCAGTTGCGCACTTATCAATCTGAGGGCCTGTTGCTTGTAGTAGGGATCTGCTTTCTTCGTAGGTGGTGATTTTGGGACTTCTGATAGCTTCGCAATGGCGAGATCAACGCCAATACTTGCAGGAAAAGATCGGTCCCTGCCCGATCCCACCAGCCTGATATCGAAGGAACATGAATCGTCTGCAAATTGCTGAAAGGTAAGGTCTGGGGGACCATTAAGGAATTTGCGATTGCGACCACCAAGTTTGCCCAGTATGCGCATCGTCGTGTGGGCATGGAAGTGGCTATAGGGATTTGGCTTCAGGTGATCCCACAATGCCATCATTAATTCGTCGATAAAAGGCGCCATGATGGGGTCCAAATACTCTGCTGTGAGATTGTCGACGCAAAGCTCCAACGTCCGCAATCCTTGACCAACCAGATCGGAGCCAGCTCGGAGAGCCACCACCAGAGGTCGCATAAGAAAATTCAAATGCGGCAAGAGGTTGCTCAAGCGAGCTGGAACGGTCAAGCATAGTTCCACGTAAAGGTCTCGCTCCTGCGGTTTCCTCGCAGCCAGCAGAAGATTGTTCAGGACCTCGAGTAACATCTCCAGTAAAGGCAAGATCTCTTTGTAGAGAAGCTCAAATCGTCCACCACCAATGCTCCTGAACAGGGACCTTAAGAGATAGAAGTAGTTCATTGGCTCCTCCGCTGCTGTGGAAAGTTGGATTGACTGAGTCACAATCTTGGTCACGTGGGGTAGCAGGACCTGCTCGTTCTGCTGGTTGAACAACGTTACTGCCATGAACGAGAGCTTGAACATCCTCAATAAGATCGACGACTTCTTTATGTCTGAAGTGCCAACCTCTCCTATCCGATCCATCAAGAATTGAAGGAGCATGCCTGCGAAAGCTGGCGAGGTGGCCTCGCTGGCCAGGAAGAATTGCGGAACATGGAGTAAAGCCGGGTGCTCGAACATCATACTGTAGAGAAGGGGTATCTCAGAATGGAAGACTTCGTGAAAGGTTGCAGGATCGATGCTATGAAAAACGGTCGCGAAGGTCTCAAGGAGATCCTTTTCTTCCTTACCGCTCTGGACGCCGTAGTTGGTAGTCAAAAACTCCACAGGAGAAGACGCCTCGGCAAAAGGCTTCTCTAAGCTGTAGTATCGGAACACGTAAGCTCCTTCTCGGAACAATTTCTTGATGACTTCAACTTCCTCTGCATTATAGCCATGTGAGACCTCTTGCCAGTTCGCAGGGGCGTTGCCAGGATCCATAACCGGAGCTTCGGGGTTACAGATCTTGAGCTGGTAGAACATGCCTTTTAGTCCAGTCAGGAGGTTCTTGAACAGAAATTTGTTGTCCTCGACAGGGATGGCTCCACGATCTTTGGGATTTGACATCTTGATAGGCGTAGCGGAGAAAATGTCAACCTCATCCCAATCTGGGGGAGACTTCGCGTCCGCTAGGTGGTCTTCAGGTATGGCGTCTATCGACTGTGGATCGCAATGCTTCGATAGCTTCACTGAGTTCTGGTATTGATGGTTCATATCAGCAAACTTGTCTCCGATCGCGCTTAATATCATAATCAGGAAATGACGAGCATCCTTCTTGTCCGGCAGACCCGCAATACTATCGGCCAGGTTGAGAAGAAGCTTCGCGCTCATTGTCTGGAAGCTCGTTCCCGGGAAACTATCATGCAGATTCTTGGAGAACACGTTGACTGTCTTTCGAATCTGGTCCCGGCTTAGCGATTCTCGAATGTGGTGGATGAGGTCGGCAAGTAGACTGTAAGCAAGAGGGCGCATTGATTCATAGACCGTGAGACCATCGCCAATGAGCGTCCGTTCGTCTAGCAGATCATCTATCTTGGTGAGGAAGATTTTGCGGAAGTTGAAGTTGATGGTATGCCGTATGGCTACTAGTAGCTCTTTCCTTGTAGATGACTTTTCGCTTGGGCAGTCACGTAGCAGTCGCACAACAATATCAGGCAGGACCGGCAGAAAGTCCTGTAGTTGCTGAACATAGACCCGCAGTAGGTAGGCCAGAAAGCTCATCATTTTGACCTGAGCTGTAATAAGCTCCCCAAAAGCAGCCCTGTTCTTGATGTCCTTGCAAACTCCTGTGAAGATCTCGTCACGTTTGCTAGCCTCGGTATGCGCTCGCTCTTGTGGACTAGCTTGTAGTGTAAGGACTTTCTTAATCCAAGGAACGAACTTCTTAACGTTGGCGGGCACACAGTTACGATGGGCCTGGAACAGCGAGACAACAATGATGGGGCACTCCGCAAAAACCTTGAACGACTGCATTCCTTTCAATAGCGGGCGAGCTTGTTGGGTCTCCAGTCCCAATTCCGCACCTACTGAAGCAGCTGGCGACCCTGGGCGTGGGGATTGAAAGTTCTGAGGGTTGTGCGGAGTCGTACCAGTCGAAGAACCTTGCGCCGGGGCATCAAAGGTATCCTTGACCACCTGTTCCATAGCCTGGAACATTTCCAATATGAGGTCCAAGAATGGCTGCACCTTTGCCGCAGTTGCCTCCGGTTGATGCCGCTCCAAGTCCATTATGGTCTTCATGCACAATATCGCGTTGTCCTCGTTCTCCGTCCGGACCAAGCCCATAAGGAGATCCACAATATCGGTGGCGTACGGCTTGAGCGCTTCAACATGGCTCATAGGCAGTCGGTGAAAAATTTCCAGAACGCAATTCCGAAGTCTCTAAGACCCAGCATCAGCATCATATCATTTCCAAAGCAAGCTTCAGAGCATAGCGTACATGTTCCATGTTCGTGCTCATGAAGACAGGCGGACCTTCAAGGAGCTTCATGAATACTGGAACGAGCTTCTTGAGAAAGATCGGGTAGGTAGGGCCATTGCATAAAATGTCAATGTTGTCCCGCAGTTCTGTTGCGATGTTGTATTTCTTCTGGACCTCTGCGCAAATGTCAGTTGCTGTTTTGCGAACGCACCCATGGCTTGCCCAATGAAAGAGCGGAGGTATCTCCTACCAAGGTTCACATCGCCCAGCCTCGCGGCGAAGGCATCTATGTTTTTCTCCGCCATGGTGATTTTGCTGGAGGTTTATGTCTCCTAAGGGAATGTGGGGACGACTGAGAGCCTAGCACCGCTGTGCGTGCGTAGCCCCCTCTTCGTACCCGGCAACTTGCTCGTACTCATTTCAGATTTCACTCATCAATATGGGTTGATAAACGGCGTCAATGCTGGAGAATGGTGAAAAATATGATGTGTTGTAGCGCAAGAATGGCATATACCCGAGAACCTGGGCTAGATAGAGTCAAAAATGCTCGTGATGACGGGGTGGTGCTGTTGGGTCAGGTTGTGAGGGAGACAGAAGGGTGGTGTTGAAGAAGATCCGGGGCATGCCTTTAGCTGTCGAGCTTTAGGCTAAGGCGGATAAGGATGGTTTAAGGTACCTTACGGTAGTACAGAATCGTAATTTACGCTCACCTTACGCTCACCTTTACTAGCTTTACTCGTGCGGCCAAAAATTTAGTTTTCCTAGCTTCTTGACAGTCCGGTGCGGGATAACCTAATGTACCAATCAAATCATCTACCTTGCTGACGCTTCATGCTTTCCGTGAGCGGTATTAGCCCTCTTGCGACTAGACTGCCAAGAGGATAGATTTATCGGCCGCACGAGTAAGTACCTTTTGCCAAGACCTTGGGTCCCAGCACTCATCGTATCTAAACAGCCCTTCCCAAGAACATTGAGCGACTTGATTTAATATCAGGCCGAGTACTCAATCGTGACTCGAAGACCGAACGAATCTTGAAGAGGAGCATTTGCCGGGCCCGAGAACTCAATGCAAAATCCGTTTGAACTTTAGAGTAGTAATAGAAGCGTTCAGAAACCTGCCCGTGTACAACTGCAGCATCACCACACGCTCTCCCGCAGCTCTGACACTTTCCACTATAGCGGGCTTGACTCTTGAGAGTCATATTGCAATCCTCGTCAGCATCCTTCGATCTCACCGCAGCATTCTTGTCTGCCGAACCGGTCAAGCATCACTCCAACGGTTCACATGCACGTTGGGAAACCATTCGCGATCATCGCTCGATATTTGCATGAACCTGTTGGTGCTGCGATCGATCTAGACACATACCGGCTTGCCCCCTGCAGAGACTCTGACCGATACTGACCCCTGCAATCTGACCATGGATGTGTAGAGTACGTGCGGCATACGAAACAGCCGCCTCATATGAGCTCATCGGCATCGCATTTGTCGCAACTGCCAGCAGAATGACTAGAAGTCGACCTTCCAACCCTCCTTGACTATGGCTTGTTCGAAGGCGGTCTCGGCTCCGTGGTCATCGTTGCAAAGGAGCCAGCAGTGACCGAGCTAGTTGAATCAATACCGACTGCTTCGGGAGAGCACTTTCCTTGCAGTCTGGCGTTGTCTTGTGTGGTAGATACCGCGAGATCGGTAGACATCAGACCCTTATATCTTGCCGTACATTTTCGAGCATGCGAGCATCGAGCGAGGCCTGTTGTGGGAACTTTTGTTGATAGCAAAGAGCTTATGGCTGGGCCCAATCCCTGCGGATGCCTTCTACTTCTCGGCTCTGTCGCCAATGAATCGCTGTCGGTTTGCCCTTCGTATTTGCGGCTGTTCTAGACATGTAGTACACGACAGCAACAGTCGAGTCATACGTCTGGCGTTTTGGAGACGGTGAAAGATTGACTACTATTCTACCCCAGATTGCCAGCCTTGTAACTTAAGGTCCAGTCGATCAGGCTTACAGCCCTATCAAATCTTGCCATACGAGGATCACTGTACTTCGTTGCTGGGCTACTCAGGAATGTTTAGAATGGCATGCGTAAGGAATGCAGTCATTGTTGCTGCCATGATGGAACAGATTGATTGTTTGAGGGTTTGTATTACATTATTGATTAACAATACAGACTTTTCTCACGCTTTTCCTTTTCCCTTATGCATGCTTTCCCTCCATTCGTACCGTCATCTCATTAAGCATTATACACTCTAGCATACGGTGATGTAGAACCCAATAGCAGCTGCGTTGGAGTCTTGGAAGTAATTCAACGCCAAGCTGCCAGTCGAACTGACCTCGTACGAGACTCTCGTTCCAGCGGCACATGAGCCAGAAGCTATGACATACTCGTTACCCGGAGTAACGCTTGTGGGGCCACCCAGGTCTGATTCAACAGCAGGAACGGTGCTGTAGCTGGTTTGCTCTGTAGCTGGGCTCTGAAGCTGTGCAAAATCGAGGCTACCGGTACCGCTGAAGCTGAAGGCTGATGAAATCAGCTCGTCTTGAGTGGGTAGAAGGAAGACGAGCGAGCACTTCTTGCCAGAGTCGGACTCTGGAATGTCGAAGTTGAAGATCGATGATACGGTCGAAGAAAAAGTGCCGTTGTAGCTGGTACCGCCAGCGGTGGTAGGCAAATCCTTGTTGACGGGCACGATCAAGTGGGGGAACTCGTGAGTGCCAGAAAGGCTGGCGGGGCAGCCTGACGCGGATGCACCGGAAGCAGACGCAGCTGGCAAAACCGAGGTCTTGGTAATCAGGGTCGTTGGGGCTGGGCCTGTGGGTGAAGGTGTCTCCGGAGCGGGGGTGCTGGCCATTTCAGGTTGAGCGACCGAAGAGGAAGTTGTAACAGGAGCAACAGCAGCAGCAGGGCTCGAGGCACTGCTAGATACCGTCTCAGCAGGGCTAGATCCAGCACTAGATGCTTTCTCACCCGCAGTGGACGGAGTTCCTTCATTGCCAGCACCAGCAGCGTTGATCGACAGAGCCCCGGCAGTTGCAGTAGCTTGAGCAGCTGGGATCGAGGATGCAGATGTCGAAGCACTCGAGCAGCTGAGATCGTAAAGTGGAGTGTCGCTCAGAGTGGTACCGACAATGCCGAAGCTTGGGTTGGGTGTAGTTGGGTAGGCATCCTGCAGTGTGAACCACCACGTATTGGTCTTGCCGAAGAGCAAACCGCATCCGACCTGATCCCAGTATGTCTGTGCATTGGCAACACTCGGTACAGCGTCACCAGAGGTAGCTCCACTGACGGGCCAGCCAGTTTCCGTTACCCAAACCGGCTTACCGCCGGCGGCACTGATTGTAGCCTCATAGGCAGCGTCGAACAGGGAGTATCCATCGCCAATGGGGTTGGTCATGGTGTTCTGGAAGTACGGATAGGCGTCCATACCGATGAAGTCAGAACTAGTGATAACAGCATCGTTGGAGCCATTGACCCAGGCAGTCCAGGTGTCGACGTGTCCGACGAGCGCGTTTTTTGCAGCAGTGCTGGCGATGGCAGTCTTGACTTGACCAATGTAGTTGGAAATATCGTCTGGAGAGGCACCGACGCCGGACATGTTGATGATACCGGTAGGAGAGATGCGGTACAGATCTTCGCTACCAACTGAAATGCCGACTATCAATGTTGCGAGCGCGGCACCATTGCTCCCTTGGAGGAAAGTGGTGAGGGCGGCAATTTCATTGTTGATATTCTCCTGACCTGCAGACGCCCACAAGCCAAGCAGCAATGAAGTGTTGGTGTTGACCGCTGCCTGGAAGGCATCACTCGGGGTGTTGGTGGTTCCCGCTTGGATGCAGGTATAAAGGCGAGCACTTGTGAAGGCATCATTGGTGCCAACAAGGGCCTTGGCAGTGGTGAAGTCACTGGTGAACTGCTCCAACGTTACTGGCGAGCTGTCGGTGTTGGTTGAGCCGTAGTTGAAGCCTTGAAAGGCAGATTGTGAGAGGGAAAAACAAGCTGCAAAGGCAGCAAGGAGAGTGGAAGAGAGCATAGCTGGAACAAACAAACGAATGTGTTCTTGCTCAAGAAACAGTAGGAAAGTGGAAGATAGATCCTAGATGCTAGGTAAAGTAGGTGAAAGCTCTGAGGATGAGAGGAGGATGAAGAGGAGGGGAAAAATTAAGAGAAAGTGAGGAGGTAGGTTATGTTTTATGTATGGGGTGCCACCAGTGCCTGCCTTCACAAATGGTATCCGAGCCCGGGAAATGGTGGGACGTCACTTTCCGATTACTGGACCAACTCACCTACTTTACTTTACTTTAGCACTCCTTCATGTGGTTCTTAGTAGCCGCCTTCCTCCTAAAAAAGCAGCGTAAGGTAAGTGCCTCGTATCCATCAGATTTTTTGCATTCTTTTTTGCCTGCATGACGGTTTTTTTGCGTCATGCAGCTTGCCTCTTAGTCTCATCTTGCCCCACATTTAGCCAAAAATAGCTCAATTGTGGACATCTGTCTGACGAACCAAACCGCATCAGATCAGCTTCCATTACACATCCCAAAAGTCAGACGTTAAATTTTATGTAAAAGAAATCATCCATCAAAAAAAGTCATCATCTGTCGTCACGTCGTGGTAAAGAACCGCCAATGTGTCTCAGAAAGCGATGTTGGCGCGCAAAGAAAGAAGGGGGCGGCGAAGAATTTAGTACCTAAAGTACTTTAGGCCGAAAGGCGATTATCCAACAACTGCGCCTGCAGGCGCAAGTGCAAGCAGGAACAGCTTGTGCATCGCTGCTTACAGCTACATGTCATGCTGTACATCTAGGTACGATTTCGCGATATTCTTACACGAGCGTCATCTGACTCCTTCCTTTTGCCATGATCCGAGCGATGGTGAGCGCTAAGATGGTGACGGCCGTGGGGAATACGGGCTATTATTTCTAGCCTTCGCCCGAAATCTTCCCAAAGGCGAGAAAAGCAAATGGATATGGATGCTACTGTACTATCCGAGTGTAATGTAGTACCAGAAGCGCTCTGAGATACTCTTTAAATACTTTCCGTATTCTGCAAATTGAGCATCTTGAATTGGGGTTGTGCTTCATTGCTTGATGAGCTTGATGTTTGGCCGGCCAAATGCCCAGCCAAACTGGCAACGCCACACCGGAGGAATTCCCGCGCCCGCGCCTGTGTTAATATTTCCGCAGGGCGGGAAGCCTATACTTGGCATCGACCTCTACGAGAACATTTTTACCGTACTGCGACACTCATCAAACACTGAGTACATGTAGTTAATTTTACTGCCGCGCTTGAGCTTCCACCTTCTGTAACAACTTCCACCCTTGCACCTCAGCTCGTCCCCTCCATCTACCGACCCGCGGCATACCCAACAGCTGCCCCCAGCTACTAATCACCAACCCACCAAACGTCCTCTTACTACTCGATCCCATAACCACCCCCCACCATGTCTGAACGCAAAGTCCTCCAAAAGTACTATCCCCCGGACTTCGATCCTTCCAAGATCGCCAGATCCCGCGTTCCCAAGAATGCCGGCCCGAAGGTAATGACCGTTCGCCTCATGGCGCCCTTTTCCATGAAATGTGCGTCTTCCTTCCTCCACCAGGTATCGCTGGCCAAGGAGCTTACCATCGTACAGGTATGTCGTGTGGCGAATACATCTACAAAGGACGGAAGTTCAACTCTCGAAAAGAAACGACGGATGAAAAGTATCTCAATATCCCCATTTACCGCTTCTATATCAGATGCACGAGGTGCAGTGGTAAGTGGCCTCGCTCCTGACGGCCAGCTGCGGAACCTTTTGCTAACGGGAACTAGCGGAAATCACATTCAAGACGGATCCGAAGGGCATGGACTATACGTGCGAGCGGGGCGCTAAACGTAATTTCGAGGTTTGGAGAAAAGCCGACGGGGAGGACGATGATCATAAGTTGGAGACGGATGAAGAGAGACTGGATAGGCTGGAGGCGGAGGAGGCGGAGAGGGGCGCGATGGAGGTGTTGGAGGGGAAAGTGGTGGACGCGAAGCGCGAGATGGAGATTGCGGATGCGTTGGATGAGATCAGGACGCGGAATGCGAGGATTCAGAGAGCGGAGGGGAAGGGGGAGGTGGATAAGGCGTTGGAACAGGCTGAGAGGGCGAGAGCGGAGTTGGAGTTGGAGAAGAGGAGAGTGGAAGCGGAGGATGAGGAGGCCGCTAGGAGGGCTTTTGGCAGGGGGATCGAGATTGATGAGGGTGTCGAGGGTGGGGTCGGGGGGGGGAACGGATATGGCTGGGGATGGGGATGATGGCAGATGGTGGTGTCAGCGAGGTCCCGGCCGCGAAGGGGGCGACCGTGGGGAGTATGCCGCCGCCCGAGTTTAAAAGGGTGGTTAAGAAGAAAAAGGATTTTTCGGCAGCGTTGGGGATTAAGAAGAAGCCTGCTCTGGTCTGAGAAGGTGTGAATACATCAAGTCTGGCAGAAGATCGGATACCAGCGTGCTGTCATGTTAGCAAGGACGCTGGCCGGATGGCTTTATTTGATGGTGGAGGTATGGATGGCAATGAAACCATGATATTCAAATTCTATGCGTGCCTGTCCATCAGGCTGGGAAGGCCCCGCTTTCGCCCGTGGCCAAGAGAGAGAAGTTGTGGAACTATCGAAACAAGAGAAGATGAACCCCACGCCGACTCGCTTCTATACTCACTCCATTTCAGCTCCCGAGGCTGTAAATTCATTCCTTGGGGCATAACAAGTCTCAGCACATGCATGTCCGAGACGTGAATCTTATGAACACGAATAGTTCAATCGCTTTTGCTTGACATCTTTTTCCCCAGGGAGTATCATCCTGCGCGCGGGACATTGTTGAGCATATCTTGTCTCGTAGTTGGAGGAGGCGGCATGACTGCTCCACTTGACCCGTTGCGCTCGAGGCGTTGGCGGATTTGTGTTGCTGGGTCTTCCATGGGCTAACGAAAATAGGACGTGTCAGTTAAATCATGGCAATTTGGAGTGTATCGCCTAAGAATTTACCTGATACTGTCCATCAAGTCCTCTCTGCCTTCTTCCATCCCTCGAAACGCCGCTCTCGTCTTGCAGCCTCAGGGCATCAAGCCTCTTCTGACTGTCTTGCGTGATTGGATCTTCGTCGATCCTGCTTGGAGGGTTGAATTTCTGCCCCCGTAGATCGGTCAAAGGGGGTATGGCTACGTTTCCACCCTTTGAGTTCTGCTTTGCCCAATCAGCTATCAGTGCCCAGTTGGCTGTTCGAGTCCGCAGAGTCTTCTCGGCGGTAGCCTCGTGTTCGCGGTAATGTTCGGAGCACTCGTCGAAGAGCTGCGGGTTGATCTCCATGAAGAGCTTCATTGCGTTATAGACCATGCCGTGTATTGTTCTGCCTAGGTCAGCTTGCGCATTTTAATGATAGGTGGCAGAACGTACCTATTCCAATGGCCTTTCGAGTTCTCATAGAGTGGCTGAAACATAATTGGCAGGATGACTTCGACGTTGTCGCTGATGAGGTTGCAGAAGTATTCGTTGTTCCAGAAGTATAGCGCTCGCTCCGCAACCTGTTGCACTTGATGAGCTTAACGCCCAAGGTACAAGATTGGCGTTGCCTACCTGGAAATGTGGGCTGGCGACAGACTTCGCGAGCTGATTGAACAGAGGCTCTTGAACCTTGGCAAACTCTGCGGGATCCATGACCTCGAAAATATCTTCCACTTCGTTGAGGAACATAACCTCTTTCGTACTGTTTACCTTTGGCCAGTATCTTAGCAGCCCCAAAACGACCTATGCAACAGTCAACCGGGATCTAGTCCATCTTGGAGAATTCATGGCTTACCTCTTCAGTCAAAGCAGCGTCCTTCTCCAGAAATTGCACGATGCAATATGCCAATTGTGGATGGTACATGCTCAAGCTCTTGACTTTGTGTAGAGGTATCAACACCCTCGTGAGGAACAGCTTGTGCTCTTCTTTGAGAGGAAGTGCGAAACCGTTGATGATCGAACCAAGAATCTCCAAAAGTTCCGCAATGCCGTTGAATCTTTCCGTCTCGTATATGAATTGGAAGAAAACGTTATTTATTGACCGTCGAATGTATGAGCGCAGGTTCAAGAATTTTCCGTAAATCCGATGTAGGGTAGTCTTGAGGAAGTCTCGTTCTCTCGGGTCTTCTGAGTCAAAGAGTTCGAGAAGCTAAATGATGTTAATGAAACTCCATGCTCTGTCAAAGAACGCCGTACCTGAAGCACAAATTGATGGTCTATGAAACCTTTTGCAATGTTCGTGTTGAAATCCTGGCTTTCGATGAATCGAAGAAAGAACTCATACACCACCTGTATATGAGGCCACGCCACTTCTAGTACTGGTTCGTCCTCCTCAGGGTCAAATGCTTCGCCTTGTGGATTGATCGGCGGCGGTATTGGTCGGAAAAGATTCTTGCTGAACATATCAACTACTCTCGGGTACATCGGCTCTGTGATGACTTGTCTGTTGTTCGCAACATAATCCAAAAGCTCATGCAGCGCCAGCCGTTTGATCTCTTTTGACTTCATATCACCACTGGCGTCGTTGAAGTCGAAGATGATGTTGCACTGGTCGATCTTCTGCATAAAAAGCTCTTGCCGCCGATTTGGAGGTACTTCATGGAACCCTGGTAGCTTCTCCAGCTCACGCTGCCTCTGATCTGATATGTCGAATCGTGACGAATGTTGCCGCTTTGGCGTTCTGATGCCTTCTGGAACATCTTTCGGAGTAGTGGTCAGCCTGTCGAAAGCACCCGACTTCTGTCCTCTTCCCGGCGGAGCAAGGTCTCCCGGCATGGTCTCTGCAGCACCGGGAGGGGGGATATGCTGAAAAAAATGTCAGTCCAAAGAGCACTTAAATTTTTTGAGGAACAGAAGAGAAGATCAATTCTAGCAGGTTCATTGAGAAAGCCAGCGCGCAGACGTACCGGGGCACTTCCTGAGCTTGGGCTTATGACCACATTGGGAGCCACGCCATGTCCAGATCTCGTTGGTGTACCTGGCGCTCCTGAGCCGCCTTGACCGCCCACGCCAGACTGTGAAGGCATGAAGGGGCCGCCAGACGGCGCTGCATTGGGTGTACCCGCAGGGGATGCATGCATAGGGTTGCTGGAACCACCTCGTGACGTACCATTTTCCCCAGGAGGTAGTGGCTTGTTTCTTGTGTCATTTACAGTTGTTGTCGACGAAGTTGGCGTACCCTGATTGGAATTGCTGGGCGAGTGGGTATTGCCTGGAGCGACCAACGTGGAGCTGGAGCTTGGTGCTGGGGAAGAACCGCCAGATGCGGAGTCTTTCTTGTTCTTTGACTTGCTGTTGGAATCTCTGGCTCGCGAAAGCTGTTCATGCTGAGTAAGTCAGCTAATTCATGAACGTAGCAATCACCAGCGCGAAAGGCAGCAAGTTGCGAGACAAAATAGGCGGGGCGCGTACCACTCGCTGTTTGAAACCTTTCATCTTGCTTCACTCGAAGATAGTGTGTACCCCTAGCTCGGGCTCCTTCTCAGAGACCTCGGCGCCCCTGGACACGGTGCAAATGTTCCCACGCCGAAAACCCAGCAGGTAGCCGTTCGCTGTCGTCCGGTGAGAGCCTTGGTCGAGGAGATCCAGAGGCTTCTTCAGGCGAGTGTAGGAAATTCGTCAGGTTCTCTGAGGAGCCATGCTTTTCGCTAGAAAGCGGATATCAGAAGGGTCTCCGGATTGTTGATGGTCCTCGTGGCTAGAGCCGTATGCAGTAAATTGCGGCTCAACATGCGGCTCAACGCCAGACGCCAGTCGCAGAGAAAGCTTCACGTTAGATATCAAAGGTTGCAAGAGCAGTGTAACAAGGTCAGTGCAATGATAGACTGGTTCAATGCTATTCTGTTGTCTCGTCGTCGATAATCGCACAGAGGCGAGTGCAAGAGCGGGCTTCCGCACTAGCGCCAAATCAAGTTAGAGGTTGCGGGGCCGTTCGAATCTCTTGGCGCGCACAACCAGTCACATGTGGACGGCGAGGGTACTTACTTTATCATGCTAAAGGAACGCTACCTTATTTTGTCGCCTGAAGCGCAGAGGCATATACCAGATATTGCTATGAATGTCCTAGATGATGCGAAACTTGCCTTGTAGATGGGAAAAGATTGGCCTTATGTATTGGAGCTCGCAGCAATACCTGAATCTCTTTTCAACCTTCTCATCATAAACGACGGAAGCGCTCTCATGCCCTCGTCTCCCTCAAAGATTTTCTACTTTGCACTTTGATCGTGCTTCAGTCTCCCCACCAGGGACGTGCTCCAGTCCAATCCGATGCTGTGGCCCGAAGCTTGTCATTCCCAGTATCTTCATGATCTTGATCGTTAAATCTTATTATTGGAGAGGCAGGGATGGAGAAAGTCAGTGGCGACAAAAGCACGGTGTCTAGCTGTCACAAAAAACCTTCTTATGCCCCATGGTACACCGTTCCCAAGCAACCCATTGTGAGTGTTGAGCATCCGTTCATCATCAAGGATGTCGACAAAGGACTAGCAACCCTCGGAAGTCCCAGCAAGTTGGAAGAGGTAAGCCGCCTTTATCTCAACAGGCATCCACATCTGATGTTTCTTAGCTGGTCCAAGAAGATGACGCTATCGCCAATCTGTATCTGAAGCCGGGAGATCGCATGTCCAAACCCTTGAAGTCGGCCAATGTCAGCACGAATAATATCCTTCTGAAGGTGACGGTGCCGAAGAGAACTGGCCTAAAGCGTAGGCGCGGTGCAGGGGGTCCGTATCATGAAGGCGCCGAAATAGAAATGCTCGGAGAGCGAGCGGCGCCTATGGTCATGGACGCTCAATACCTTTTCCGCTCAATGCACGACAATCCAAAGAGCTATCAAGTCGAAGCAATTGGTACTGTCCACCAGACTCATCGCTTCCGAGGTATGGAAACATTGTTTCCTGAGGCTGGATTTGAGTGCGCTGATACCGTTAGGCATGCCGGACTTCGTCACCTCGACCGAGAACATGCCGCTCACAAAGAAATTCCGAGAACATATATTACCAATCGACTGTAAGGTTCTCCATTCAAGAAAACCGCATCCATTGATTACTGTCAGATGAGAAAATGAAAGGCTTCAAATTCGATATGAGCAAAGGTGTCAAGCCAAATACTGAGATCATTCCCGCCCCCATCCTGGACTCATTTCACTCTTCCTTTCAATTACTCGTACGTCATTCGAAGTTGTTTACGAATGGTCAAGGCTAACAATTGCTAGTTATCGCCAAAATCCTTGTGTAAAGCGAGTCGTTGATCATCTGGGTAACGTCCGCACCATCAATGTGCAAGCTGGTCCAAAGATTACGAATCCTCCTGTGCCTTTTGATGTCAATGTCGTCCCACAGGGTCCTTCACCAGATCTTCCTGCTATCGAGACTCTGACGCCCGCAATGCAGCGGTTGGTCAACAAAGCGCTTAGTATAATGCAGGACAGGCCTATTTTCACCCGAAGAGCACTTTACAACTGTATGCCAGGCAATGACTGGGATATATTGGGTCACAATGCTGCCAAATACGTCTACCAGTACGCGGGATACATGTTCTCGTCTGGCCCTTGGCGCGATGCTCTTGTTAGATATGGCGTAGACCCACGCACGGATCCCAGCTTTAGGATCTATCAAACTATGATCTTCTTGCTAGAAAACGAGCGTAAAGACAGTCGAGCAAGATTCAATCGGACTAGACCTGACCGAACGAAGACCGAACAAGTGTCGAGGAAAGAGAGCCATCTTTTCGATGGCGTGACCGTCAGCAAGGACGGGAAGATATGGCAAGTTTGCGACATCTCAGAGCCGTTTCTGAAAAGCCTCTTGTCCACCAATAATCTTCGTAAAGAGTGTCACGTAAGCATTGCGATTTCACGTGCTATTTGGCGCTGACCCAGTTCCAGATTGAAAGGGATGGCTGGTACCATAACGGCACCTGGGCAAAAGCCAAAATTATCATGAAAGCCAAAATTGCTGCTATCCTAGACGGTGTGCCCTCGAATGACGCCGCCTTCGCCAAAGTCGCAGATGAGATGCCCGAGATTATGAGAAACAATAACAGAGCCGCAACGTATCTAAGCCCGAATGCAACGCCAGAGGAGACTCATTTAGCAAGTGTGATCCGTACCACTGCTCAAATGCATTACTCAGCCAACCAAGACGGGACAAGAGGGAACGACGGCTATGATGATGAGCGAGACCAAGATGAAGAGATAGCGATGCCAGCGGTGCTTGACGACGGCCTGATAGATCCGAGGATTACTGAAGCTGTTTCGCAGTTTGCGCCTCGATTCCGAGGCTGAGCGGAATGAGACGACTGGTGAAAGGATGTATGTTGGTGGCGCCCAGGACCTAGACCAAAAAGGTGAAATGTGGCATGCTGCTAATGGGTTTTGAGAAAGATGAAATAACAAACAGCAAAACGAGTCACGGCCGCAAGCAAACAAGCTACCAGCGAAAGACAGCTGTATGAGCAGTACGTCGCGCGACCTCCAGTACTTCGTATTGGCGGACCAGGACAATGAAGCGGTTGTCTCGCAATAGGTTCAGCGTTTCGTCCAGGTTCTCCTTGAATCCCAAATTCCTTGGGTGCAGTACTCGAAGAGAGCGCGGTCTTACTTGCGAGGAGCTTCCATGTGTTAGATCATTGGCTCCAATTCCCGCTCTCTGTCGTGATATTAGGGTCCGTCACCATTTCCTCTAACCAAACTCACCGGTCAAGGCAATTACCATGAGAGTAGGCGCCCTCAATCTTTAGGGGGCCTTCGATGACAGAGACAACGAACTCGCTGTTTAGTCTTGGCGTGATGCCATTGGCTTCTTTTCGAAGCCCCCTTCCCAGTGCATTTTCTATTCTCCAGACTGACTGGACCGGTTTAAAATCAACCCGATTGAAGGGATGGGTGGAGAGTGCCATGGATGTGGGTTAATGTTTTCATGGCCAGAATTCTCGTGTCTGGGGTCAACAACCTCCTTCTGGAGCAAGCGCTAGCGATCTACGATTCAGGAGATTCTCAGAAAGCTCATGAAGCATCCGAAGTATCTGAGGGCAGGCACGCCACCCCGTCAAAGTTCTGTCATGTCGAGATCTCTCAGTCAGATTATATCCCACAGGCTGAGACTAGGCTGAAACTCCCATTTGTGCGATCGTGTAAAATTGCCAAAAGTTGCCACGTCGTTTACATTCCTGATTCATTATACTAGACTAGCGGAGGGAACTCCGGTCTATCTAACCCTCGACCTCAGTAGACTCCATGACAACCTCTTCAGATCGAAGGCTATGCTTCACGCTCTGTTTGCGAACCTCATGGTCAGTTAAAAAGGCTGATTACCTTGTTCTAGACTCATGTTGCGCAGCACAGACAACTGTCAAAAAAACCTTACGCGTACTAGATCCCGTGCAGGAGATGCCTCCTGAAAGACTAGCCTCATTCTCCTATGTCCTGCAAGAACCCTATGGCGCCCCCTGTCTCTAAAAGCACCCTAAGCGTTCCGTATCCGTCGATATTTGGGCGGTTTGCAGAGACAATGGAGCGTCCTGCGATGCGACTGCATCCAGGGGTAAACGTACGCCCGCAAAGCGCCACCAACCCTCGCAGCCATCAGTGAGCTTTGATCTCCATGTCACTTCGAAAGATTCTATACGCCACCTTGCATTTGGCTGGGTGCCGTTTGCGAGGAAGTCTGGGGGACGAGAGGTACAAATAGGACCAGAAATACCCAAGATCAGACTTGACATATAAAATTCATCAGCATAATTTGAAGTATCGCGACAATTTCATCGGCCGAAGTGCCTAAGTTGACACAATTGCCTAACTTGCCGTCCGACTACTCTATCATTGTCTCACATCTATCCACCCATTCTGTATCCTGCAAACATGTATCTCCCTCTGACTCTGATTCCCCTTTCAGCCGTCAATTGGCCAACATCATTGCCCGGTAAGCGAGGCATTCTCCTCTTCCACACTCTACATTCACCTAAAGCTAACATCATCAGTTCCCGAAAACGGTCAAAATGCAATGGCAGTACCGATCACATCACCAACTCCAACTGCTGTGATCGCATCCTTCGAAAAACGTCAACCTGCATACGCTCCCGTAGAGACATATAAGCCCGTCCTCGAAGTCTTAGCCGGAAGTGCTGCCGACGCATTGGAAGAGCGTGCGAGTGGTGCGGATGATGGTTTCGACAGTCTCCTCTGCGCGACCTTGAAAGCGCTGAAGGGCGAGAACCCTGCCACATTCACTAGTCTGTTGCAATCCTGCACCGACTTGACTGATTCGAGTGCGACTCGGCGTACGAAGACCCTCAAGGAGCGCAACGTCGTTAACGACAAAAAGGACCTCGCTACTGATATTGAAGCTGTGGACAGTGGATCTGGCGAGGCAATTCTGGGCAGAAGCGCGACCAATCTCCTGGAGAAGCGCGACCTCGACATCAACAATATCACGAAGAAGCGCCAAGACGAGGGCTCGACAGCCTCCTTTGAGCCACTCTAGAAGAGGTCGTCGCCGAGCATCCGGGCCGGATTTTCCTCTCTCGGTCCTTGGTGCAAGTCTATGAACCATTCGGCTAGTCCCTAAGTAGAGTGCATCATCTGACACAGCAAGGCCACATTGTTTGCATTTTACGGATTTTGAGTTGCATGAGCATACGCCGACGCAGATGCATCGACAGCATGTAGGGGGAGTTCGGGTTTGCTGCTGAGCAGATTAGGTGGCACTCGGCGCGCGAAGGGTATGGAATGAATCATCATTTGGCGTTGCTGGAATTGCAGGCGCGGTGACTCTAGGTTTGGGAGCCCAATATAGCACTAATATGTTAGTCGATAGCAGGAAGCAATAATGACAAAGCATATCTCTCGATGTAACGCAAATTCTTGAACCAACAAAAGACAGAGAAAACCTCCGCGAGTCCCTTTCACACTGGCCGTTCACAGCGGAGTTGCTTCGTCAAGCAAAAGCTGTTATAACCCGTACCCAAGACACCGCCAGGGAACTGCGGTGCTCACAGCAACCAGTCTTTCGACCCTATCACTGTCGCCATTTGCTCGGCAATGCAGGTCTTAGTGTTGTAGCTCTAGATCGAGACTACACGCCTTTCGTCAAGGTTCTCTTCTCTTCAAACTACGACGACAGTAGATATCTCGACCGTAGATTTGAGTAGCAGCTCGTTTATCCCCCTTGACGTTGTTAAGAGCTTTTTTTCTCGAAAGGAGTCAATGCTCTGAAGCAGTGTTATCGATAGAGGCGTCTTGTAGACGCGCTAAACGCGGTGCAGTAATCAGTAAACATTGAATCTATGCCAGTGCCCAGTAGCCGTACGAAACGCACACCTTTTGACAAAAATGCAGCAGCTGCTCAAAGACTGGCGGCAGGATGCCATGCACAAGCACCAATATGAGTCTGCTATCTACATAGGGGATAAGCTACTCGCCATTACCAGTAAGCAAGTCAACCCATCCGCAAGAGCAGAGAACTCATCTTCGCCAGATGATCCTAACGACGCCTTCTTCCTTGCCCAAGTCCATTTCTCAACCGGCAATTATACCCGCGCGCAAAGTTTCTTAGACAAGCATGATCTCGTGGAACACAACTCAGCATGCCGGTACTTGGCCGCTCATTGTCAGATCAAGCAAGGGAAATACGAGGAAGCTCTCTCAATACTAGGAGACAGAAATCCAAGCCATCTTATTATATCACCGAGTAAGACACGGCGGAAATTACACCATACGAATGGGACACTACGGCCAGGAAGTAAGCATGGGAAAGCAACAGGGAGACCTGAGAGGATAGAAAAGAGCGAGGAGAGGGATCGGGAGAATACATCCAACATCAAGTACGAAGCAGGCATGTGCTATCTACGGGGATTATGTTTCGCGAAGCAAAGCGCCTTCGATCGCGCGAAAGAGTGTTACAAGGACGCTGTACGAATAGATGTACAATGCTTCGAAGCATTCGATCAGCTCATGAAGAACTCTCTCATGTCACCAGATGAAGAATGGACCTTTCTGGATTCCCTAGACTTTGACTCAATCTCTGGAGAAGACAGTTCTACATCTCAAGAAGTCGCTCAGTTCGCCAAGATGCTCTACACCACCCGCCTCTCGAAATACAAGAACCCTACGGAATTCAACCACGCATCCGAGACCCTTTCTACCCATTATAACCTCGCCACAAATCCAGACCTCCTCCTTTCCAAAGCTGAGCTCTTCTTCACACAATGCCGCTTCAAACAAGCACTCGCCCTCACAACCTCTATCCTGGAAACCGACGAATACAACTTCTCCATCTACCCTCTCCACCTAGCTTGCCTACACGAGCTCGCCCAGACGAATACGCTCTTCCTAATCTCCCATCGCCTCGCCGACCTCCATCCTGACCAGCCCGCCACCTGGCTAGCAGTCGGTGTTTACTATCTCAGCATATCCCAAATAGCAGAAGCGCGGCGCTTCTTCTCTAAAGCCTCAATGATGGATCCACACTTCGGTCCTGCCTGGATTGGGTTCGCGCACACCTTCGCTGCAGAAGGTGAACATGACCAAGCCATTTCCGCATACAGTACCGCTGCGCGCTTATTCCAGGGGACTCATCTCCCACAGCTTTTCCTTGGCATGCAGAATCTACAGCTCAACAACATGACTCTCGCCCATGAATACCTCAACGCCGCTCACGCCCTGTGCAGCACTGATCCTTTGCTTCTCAATGAGCTTGGCGTGGTCTTCTACCATCTTGACCACCTCTCCGAAGCCATCAACATCTTCAACAGTGCTCTCACCATTGCAGCCGACATAGATAGTGATCCTAGGGCGTGGATCGCTACCCGCGCAAACCTTGGCCACGCGTACCGCCGGCAACGAGAGTGGGCTCTAGCATTGCAAGAGTTCGAAGAGGTCTTACGCCAGGGCGGTCGGGATGCAGGCATCTTCTGCGCCAAGGGTCTCGTGCTGCTAGAGATGGAAAGGAGCTGGGAAGCGGTGTGTGCGCTACATGAGGCTTTAGCTGTGGGGCCGCAGGACCCGATCGCTACCGATCTGCTAAGCAGGGCGCTGGAGGAGAACGCTAGCGTACAGGGATGGGGTGGTGCGATGGAGGCAGAGGATGAGGTAGATAGAGAGTTCGACAAGGTCCTGGCGGCAAGGAGGCATGGGCCTGTGGGAAGGAAGCCAAGGAGAAAAGACAAAGGAAAGCAGAGAGTCAGCGAGGTCGAAGAGGATAGCATGATGATTATGAGTGATGACGAGGATTGAAGGGTACTCATTTCGGAAAACAAGGGGCCCGGCTTTGCATCAGGTGTAAATTGGAGGAGTCTTACATTATGGGGCGTGTCCTGAATTGAAAATACGTCGGCCTTGGCCTGTATGATATACTGAAACTTAGATACCCCGAAGCTGCAGGTTGGCTTGCTTTTATGCATGGTGCGTGTCGAGGTTTTTCAACCAATGTACAAAGAGAATCCTCAAGTCGCTCGTTCGGCCTCTTGTGCTTGTCCCTTCTCTGATGATTCGTCACAGCTGAGTAGAAGTGGGAGCGTAGTCAGGGTGTACGGAGGCCAAACAATCTTTTCAGACGGAGATGGGGGGTTGCAGCGCCTTGGATCCCTTTTGGAGTATATTGAGATTCCAAACATCATTAACATTGGGCCCGAGACCTATGGGATCTACAGCAGCGAGTTGATGAGAAACGGTCGATTCAGCTATCTGTGGTACGAAACCCTAGACTTGACGACCTTTCTCTTTTCGGGGCCCCGCAGGCCTTCGGTCATGGAAACACAGACGCATGCTAAAACAACGAACTTTCTGCGTAAACCCCCTCGCTACCGCCATGAATCTCGATTCCATGAGTCGTGAAAACACACTGCTACTGTGAAGAATGGCTGATGAGATGGTCTCAACGCTTGGTTGAAACCCCGAAGAAGAATGTCTGATACCGTACTGATGCCGTTGGATAGCGATACATTTTGCATGCGTGACCCCTTGAGGAGTCAAAAGAAAGGAAAAGCTGAGTGGTGATCTGGTACAAGCGAGCGGTTGAATGCCTTGATGACCCTTGAAGAATGTGGACTACGTCCGCTGTAAAATTGAAAAAGTATGAATCGCGAAGCCCTATGTTGGTGGCAAGCTTGTGTCAAGGATCCAAGTGACAGGAGCATATTGACGGTTCATACCATTTGAAATTGGTGACTAAGGATGATGATGAGCCAACAATGTTGCCATTCGTGAATTGAAGGGACTGGGATTAGTTCTCAACTGCATCCTAAATCAGTATGAGAAAGACAGTTGTAGCAGTAGTAAGAAATCCAAACGTACCGAAGATATGCTCGTTATCCTCCATAAGGTCGTCCTCAGGCATATCTGAGGCTTCCTCAGGGGCAGTCTGACGCACAGGCTCCTTGCCCTTGTTTTTGACAGTACGACGACAAGCGGGAGTGGACTTCTCCCCCACCTCTTCTTTCTTGACTGCAATGAAATCTTTCTGCATATCTAATGCCTAATCATCCAATTAGCTTCTAGACCAGACAACATCAAGCAAAGAGAACTCACAGTAGTGGCAGCAACGAAAATCTGCTCAGCGAACCCGCCTCCCTGTTTGACCATACGAACCAGATCTTTCCTGGTCGCCTCATCCACTCCCTTCATGAACATCGGCGCTACCTTGGAAAAATACACCTTGAATGGTCCATTCTCATGGTCAAGTTCCTCATAGTACATGTCCTCAGCCCAATCGAAGAATTTGCCAGGCGGGATCCTAGACATGATCTTAGAGCTCGAGAAGAGCTTGACGACCTGCTTCTGCAAGCCGGGCAGGACATAATGCTTGGCTAGGCTCATGAGTTCTTTGAATTCTTCGAGGCGTGCAAGAGGGGTGTTCTTGTTCTTGGACATCAAGAATTTGTCTTTGTAGAGAAATTGAAGCATCTGCTCGAAGGCAATGGCGTCGTGGGCCATTAGGGGAAGAGTATTCTGCTTGGTGGCACGCTTGTTTGCTTTGGCTTTGTCGATCTCTTCTGCGAGCTTGGGGGAGCGCTTGAGGACTGACTCGTGGGCGTGGAACTGAGGGCCGTCTGGGCCGAGCTGGATGATGAAGATGGTGGCTGTGAAGTTCCTGTTGTTTTTTAGCGTTGAATCTTTGTGTGGGTCAGCAAGGAGGAAGCGTAGACATACATAAACTCCGAGTTGCCAGCCAGTCCGCCGGGTGTGGTGGTAGAGGTTGCGCGAGGTGCTGATCTCATCAACGCGTTACTACGGACGCGCTTTTTGGTTGGTACAACAGCAGATCCATTTGAATTAGCTGAGCTGGCATTCGAGTCGCCACGGACACGCTTGCCGAGTGTCTTCTTTGGTGCTTTGGCCTTTGGACGCAGAGGGACTCCATTGGAGTTGCTGGCCTTGACAGATGAAGACGTGGAGTCCGAATTGGTGCCACAATCGACGAGGCCTTGAGCGACCGAGAAGCTGGAGTCTGCTGAATCCGAATCACTGTGGTTGTTGTCCTCAGGGCTCAAGATGTGCTCCGGTGAGACGCGTGCTGGAGGTGTCGGTGGAGGGGCATCATCCCCTGATGCCTCGACAGTACCATCAAAGTCGGGAAGCAACATGGCAGCAGTTCCCAAATGACGGCTTGAGACAGGAGAAGATGAAGCGGCCAGCTGCTTCGGAGAGCTGCCGACAGAAGGGGGCGATGCCGTCTTCTTGGTGACCCAAGAGGCCTCGAGACGCGAAGGAGATACCATTTCCTGGTATCAAGCCGTACGTTACTTGTTGATATGAATGTGTTTGAGGTGTTTGGAGAGAGTTTTAAGGGATGTATGGAGTATCAGAGCATAAGTCTTGGGTATGATGGATGGAGAAAGGTGAAGAAGGTCGGGGTCGTGAGATGAGAATTTGGCAGAGAATCAAGGTTACAAGCCGTGTGTGTGTAGTCGCTCGGTGGCCAATGGGTCTTTGGTCGTTTTGGTGTTGTGACGGTGGCATCGACACGAATGGTCGATATGGGAGGTGTAAAACCCTACCACTCGGCGTTCAAATAGACTTGCCCCAAAAAATTCATACACATATCTTCAGTTCACTCCGAGAAAGTGACACACTTGATTCGCTCGATGTGAAGTGTTCTCCCTGTCGTGAAGTGAAACATCTGCTAAGTATAAAAGGAGTCAGGTGTAGACAAAAAGAGAGTCAGTAAAAGAGGTTACAGCGTCGAATAGGGTTCTCCTGCGGATCGAAGGAACAACAGATACGGATTACGGACAGAGCTAAAAGTCAGACCTTGGTGTTGGGAACCGTGAGCGGAGAGCGTTTTCAAGGGCAACTGTCGTCTGACTATGGAAAGGGCAAGCATTTTCAGGCATGGGGGTAGCGCCAACTCCTGTTGGACTAGAAAAGTTCCGTTGCAGTGAGGCACGAGCAAGAGCACCCATGAATAGACTGGCGCACGACGTGGAGCCATTTGCAGCCTTTTATGAAACCATTTACAACCTTGACTTTACGGAAAAGCATCCTGCGATGGACAAAAGAGATATTGGCGACTTGGTTGGCTGTTCAAATTTTTACCACTGCTGTTGACGGCGTCCAGTCATGAGGCTTTGAGAGGGATACTGCTGAAGGGTGGTGCAGGATGGTGGGATGCACGACATGGATTAGAGACTGATGTAGAGTGTTTTAATTCTGATTCAAGAGTTCGTTCGCTACTATCCTGCTAAGCGTAAGTCAGTTCCAGTCGTTAAGAAGGGACCATGAACCTTGCCTTTGGAGGTAGTTCCCCTTCCCACCACGCATATTTTGCCCCTTTTAGCATCCTGAGAGCTCCCCACCACCTGCGGCCATCTGCTTCTTTCCATTTCATCGAGCTTTTGGTTCACCATGGTGCCTGAAACTGACAGAAGACTACGCCATGCACAGCATGCTCCTTAAGTCAGAAGGTCCGCAACTTGGAAATGTTAGCGTGGTTCTCAGGCTGAGAGGTTGTTGACATACCATTCATGGGCATTTCGTCAATCTGCGTTGAGTAGTACACTACACTCCCGTCAGCAAGCGTAGGTGGGCTCTAGGCTGTCAGAAGCTTACATTCAATGTCACGCAGAATGCGAACATCTTCGCTGGTAACAAAGTTGATGGCGACACCTTTCCGTCCAAATCGTCCGCTTCGACCGATCCTGTGGATGTAATTCTCACGATTGCTGGGAAGATCGTAATTGATAACAAGAGAAACTTGTTGGACGTCAATGCCACGGGCCCAAACATCCGTCGAGATGAGAACGCGGGAGTTGCCTTGACGGAAGTCCTGCATAATACTATCTCGCTCCTTCTGCGGCATCTCGCCATGCATTGAAGACACGGTGAAGTTCGCTTCACGCATCTTGTCCGTCAGCCAGTCAACCTTTCTACGAGTATTGCAGAAGATGACGGCTTGTGTGATGGTGAGTGTATCGTAGAGATCGCACAAGGTATCAAACTTCCATTCCTCCTTTTCGACGGCGATGAAGTATTGCTTGAGACCCTCGAGCGTCAACTCGTCACGCTTGACCAAAATGCGGACAGGGTCTGTCATGAACTTCGTAGTCATGTCTAGGACGTCGTATGGAAGCGTAGCGGAAACCACGACGACTTGGGTCGCGGGAGGAAGGTATCGATAGACATCGTAGATTTGCTCTCTGAACCCGCGGTTGAGCAACTCATCTGCTTCGTCCAACACAAGTATTTTGATGTTGCGAGTGCGTAAATTGCGTCGTCGGATCATGTCTGCAACTCTTCCTGGTGTACCCGAGACAATATGCTGGCCGTAGTCAAGCTTGCGAATGTCCTCCCCAACGTTTGTCCCACCAATGCAAGCGTGACACTGCACATTCATATAGTCCCCAAGCGCCATCACTACCGATTGGATCTGAGTGGCCAACTCTCGAGTAGGAGAGAGGACCAAAGCTTGCGTCTCGCGAAGAGCAGTGTCAATGACTTGAAGGCAGCTGATGGAGAAAGTGGCCGTCTTCCCGGTACCGGATTGTGCTTGGGCAATGGTATCTCGTCCTTTGCAGATCTGGACGATGGCTCGAGACTGGACAGCTGAAGGGGACTCGTATCCATAGGCGTATATTCCACGCAGGAGATTCTCTTTCAGCTGCATGTTCTCAAATGTAGGCGCAACAGTGACCTCCTTCGATGTTGCGAACTCCATCTTCTCTGTTCGAAGTCAGCTTTTATTCTTGAGAGTTCAAAGGTGAATTGCAAACCCTCCATATTTCTGTCGATGCCGGCCATGACTGCCGGATATCTGGAATGTTGTTGGAAAGTGACAGTGCTCTTGCTGTAGCTGATGTGCTGATGAGGAAGGCTCGAAGGGCAGAATGTGTCCGAGATATTTAACCGTGGTTCTGCCGCTGGCATGGTTTGATTGGTCACCAGACTTGATCTTGGCTTCAGCAAAGTAGGTAGCAATTGTGCCCATAGCAGATCATAATCCCTCTCCCTCCATACCCGTTGTATCAACCATTCACCCGATTGAACGAGGATTTCCAATAGTTTGATTGGAATTTATCTCTGAACCATGCTGCTCGAAGAACAGAGATTTCTCCACGAGGACCTCGAGAGGCTCGAACAAGGAATCAGTGATAGAGTTGCAGAAGACCCGAGACATGTATGTGCCTCTGCTGGCTCGCAGATATTTTATGATATGCTGACTGTTTGCTAGGTCCGTGACCGATTGAATCGAGACCATCAGATTTCCGGGTTTCTCAATCGCATCCAGGACCAATCAAAACGACTCCTCGACATCTACAAAGACACGGAAGGCCTGCGTTCCAAGGAAATACAGTCAATATCTACAGGGGACCCTTTTGATGAGTTCTACAAACAGATGACCGAGATCAAGGAGCACCACCGACGATACCCAAATCAGCCAGTTGAGAATCTAGAGAGAGCATACAAGAGGAAAGCGTCCGGTGAAGGGGAGTCAGCTACAGCGGAAGTGGACAACATGTTCACAGGCGAAGAAGCCTTTGGTCGATTCTTGGATCTGACAACGTTACATGAGGAGTACCTGAACATCCAGTCAAAGCGGGTGTCCTACCTGCAATACCTGCAAATATTCGACAATTTTGGACCACAGTACATCGCAATGAAACGTGCTGAAAAGAGTACGGATCAGTACTTCAATTACGTTGGACGACTTGCAGATTATCTGGAGAGCTTTTTGAGACGAACAAGACCGTTGGAGGACCTGGACAAGTTCTTTGCCTCCATTGATCAAGACTTCGAGAGGGCGTGGGAGGAGGACTCGGTTCCTGGCTGGGGCCCAGAGGCGCAACCAGCAGGATCTGCAGTACCCGTGACAGAAGGCACAGGCGAGGGTGTCTGGTGCCCAGATTGCGAGAAGGAGTTCAAGAATGACAATGTCTACAAAAGCCATTTGAACGGCAAGAAGCACATCAAGAATGCCAAAGCAAGACAAGCTCGGGGAGAAACCAACGGTACAAATGGAGGAGCTCCAAATGGCCACGCCAACGTTCGAGGATCCACCGTCCAACGACTGAAAGAACGTGCAATTGCAGAACGTGAATACCGCATAAAGCGCCTAGCCTCTACAATGGAGACTGTCCGTACCGACTCGCGCGTGAATGTTGAGCGCAAGCAAGGCATGACGGAGCGCGAACGGCAGATGGAACTCGACGCCTTCTTCGCTGAGTCCACCGAAGCACCGCAGCGCAACGGCGATGATGATTCGGACTCAGATGGTGACGAGAAAATTTACAACCCTCTCAAGCTACCTTTGGCTTGGGACGGCAAGCCCATACCTTATTGGCTCTACAAGCTCCACGGTTTAGGTGTAGAATTTCCTTGTGAGATCTGCGGAAACTTTGTGTATATGGGCCGTAGGGCATTTGATAAGCATTTTAACGAGGCGCGACACATTTATGGACTGAAGTGTTTGGGAATCACAAATACAACGCTGTTTAGGGAGATCACAGGGATCGAGGACGCGTTGAAGCTGTGGGATAAGATCCAGCGGGATAAAAAGAAGGAAAAGAGCGGGGGGAAAACGTCGTGCAGATGGAGGACGCGGACGGGAACGTCATGCCCGAGAAGGTCTACTATGAGTAAGTGCCTTCTACCTCATTACTAATGGACATGGTAAAGACGGATGCTGATGTGGTTTAAAGTCTTCAAAAACAAGGCCTTCTATGATCATCTCCGTAAGCGCGCCATCGTTGAGACAAGGCAGTCAACCTCAGGCAACATCTCCAAAAATGAGGAATTGACGAAACATCGTTGAGACTGACATCTCCGCTTTCCGCCACATCCGAGATATCGTCGTTGTTTCAGAGACCCCATTCATGGCCTTGTCCGTAGCCACCCACAGTGTTCAATGTGCCCAGGCTTCCCGTGTTAGCTTTCGCGGCAGCAACATTGTACGACAAAGAATCATCTGCTATGAATAGTGGCTCGAGCTCGGTGCGAAGGAGTAGCACCAATAATACCCTCGGCATTTGCCTCGACCTCAAGTCTTTGTGGTCTCGATAATTCAAGTGCGAGCGCCTTCTAATGGCCAGTCAATGAGCCCCCCGTCCGTCTTTATTGTTTCGTAGCGAAACTGTGCGCCTCTTCTCTTTGACAGTGCCACATCTACTCTTTGTCTTACGCCAACCTTCGAGTCTAGATATGACACGTGCGTTCTTTGTTTCCCTGTCTCTCACTCAGGTATCTTATTTCTTGTACCTCCTCCATCTCAAAAACCTTAACCACGTTCACTCCCAACCCTTTCCAAGTCTTCAGATTTTCACACTCACTACACTCACTGTCTTTAAGGAACCTTCCTAGTTATCTTTCATTCTATCTTTAACAGATCTCTCATTTCAGTTATTTTATGAGACAGCGTCTCAATCACCATGCTTTTCAACAAAAGATCAGTTGCGGCCGTCGCTGCCATCGCTGCGTTACCGTCATCCTTTGCTCAAGTGATTACAGTCTGCAATCCTTTGGATGGTATGCAGTCTTCCAGCGTACTGTGTGGGCAAGACTAATGGGTCTCATAGTTAACTGCCCCAATGGATTGGGTCTGTCGACCAGCTCTTACTTTATGGATTTTACGCAGCAAAAGTCTCTTCCTAGCGACTGGACCAGCGCTCTCTACGAGTACACTACCTTCGACTCTACCATGGGTGCCGCTTTCAACTTCGGGAAACAGGGTGATGCTCCAACCATCTATTCTAATTTCTTCTTCTTCTTCGGACGTGTCGAGTATGTCGCGCAGGTCGCTCCAGGTAAAGGCATAGTCAGCAGCATGGTTCTGCTCTCCGATGACTTGGACGAGATTGATTGGGAATTCACTGGTACCAACACTGCTCAAGCCCAAACCAACTACTTTGGCAAAGGTGTCTTGAACTACGGTGTCTCCGAATACGTCGATGTTACATCTCCCCAAACTGGATTCCATACCTACGCAGTTGACTGGTCTCCTACAGAAATCGTCTGGTCCATCGATGGAAAAGTCATGCGCACTCTCACCGCAGATCAAGCAGGCAACGAGTTCCCGCAGACCCCTATGAAAGTTAGTCTTGGCCTATGGGACGGTGGCGATGCTAGCAAACAAGGCGTCGATACGGTGCAATGGGCTGGTGGGCCGACACCGCTGCCGCCAACCCAGAACTACACCTCTTACATTAAGAGCGTGAAAATTACCAACGCAAATCCAGCTATGCAGTATGAGTACACCGATAAGAGCGGAAGCTGGCAGAGCATTAAGGGTATCAACAACACTCTCATTTCCAGTTCCAGCGCCAGCTCCATGCACAGCACTAGCAGCTCCATGGCTTCTTCTAGCCTGATCTCTTCCAGCATAAAACCTACCACGTCCGTCATCCCGGAAATGACCGTCTTGAGCACCAGCGAAGTTGTCATCACGGCCTGCGCTTCCAGCGTTCTCAACTGCCCCGCTCGCAGCACGCCTATTACATCAAAGGTCATTGTTACATCGACGAAACCCGCTACGACTATGGTTGTCACCCCCTCATCATCTGTCATGGCTGTGTCCGCTTCCAGCATGAGCAGCTCCGTCACCGCGAAATCTACTGTGGCCAGTGTTGTCAGCGAGATTGTCTACACCACCGTCACGAGCTGCCCAATCACAAGCACCAAGGTCGCCAATGGTACTACTTCTGTCATGAAGGCCACCAGCCTTTCTACCATTTTGAGCACCAGCACCAGTACCATCTGCACCAAGTGTGTAGCGCCACAGATGACAAGCTCGACTGTATCTCCAGCGATGACCAACTCGACCGCAGCTCCCATGTCAGCATCTCCGATGTCTACTGTTGCCGCATTCACCACGGAGATCGTCTACACTACTTTGACCAGCTGCCCAGTGACCAGCACCAGGATCGCGAACGGTACCACTGCCGTTATGAAGACAACAAGCGTTTCAACAATTTTAAGTACCAGTACTAGCACTATCTGCACAAAATGTGTGGCACCACAAACGACTAGCTCTTCCTCGTCTAGCATGGTCCAAAACCCGGCCACCGCCATGCCACCCAGCGTTGCCGCGAACGCGTACCATGCTTATATAGCAGCCCATGCTTGTACCGGTAGCACTGCTGTCCCTGGCTTCACTCCACCTGTCTCTTCAATCGTGCAAAGCACCATTGTCAGCACTATTGTCAGTGCTTCGTCGACCAAGACCTCTTCCACTGTTATGACAAGCGTTGTCTGGACCTATCCCGCAAAGACCACTTCTTCTACCACATACGTGACTCTTTACAGCACCGGCTTCAAGACTGTAACTGACAGCAATTCTTCTGTCTACGTCTCATCTACAGTCGTTCCCACCGTTGTGGCTTCCACTGTTGTTGCTCCCGTTGCTGCCCCAGCCCCGACCTCAACCACGTCTTCGACAAGCTATAGCACGATCTACAGCACCGTTGTTAACACAATGACTGACAGTGCGTCTTCCACATACCTGGCTACATCAGCCATCCCGAGCGTTGTGTCCTCCGTCGTCGTCGCCGCTGTTGCTGCCCCAACCACAACCATCGCCTCAACGATCTACAGCACAGTCTACAGCACAAGCATCAGCACCATGGTCGACAGCGCCTCTTCAACCTACCTCGCTACTACCGTCATCCCCAGCGTCGTCTCCACAGTCACAATGGTCGCACCAGTTACATCAACCGCTTACTCCACAGTCCAAAACACCGTCATCAGCACCGTCACCGACAGCGGTTCCTCCACATCTCTTTCCACAGCGGTCATCCCAAGCGTCCTCTTCAGCGCTGTGCCAGCCGCCAGCCCATCAAGCAGTCTTCTGGATGTCAACCCAGTCAACGGTCTCCCCGCCGTCGCGCCTACCGGCACGACAACGATGACCCTGAACTCGACGTCATCAATGACCGCCACGAGCACATCTACGGCATACTTGAACGGCACCATGGCCGGTACCGGTGTTGCGGCAAGCTCCGGCTTCCCAATCACGACGGCGAAGGCAAAGGCCCAACCATTCATCGGCGGTGCGGCCAACTTGGCCCCTGCTGGCTTTGGTGGCTTGGCTGTTGCTGCCTTTGTCGTGTTGTTCTTGTGAGTTGAGTTTGTGAGTTGGTGGGGTCGGTAGATGTGTTCCGCTTCAGCAGCGGGTCTGCCGAGGTCGAGTGGGAAAGGATTTAATTGGGGGAGGCGTTCCTGAAATCCGACCCCTTCCGTGAAGGACGATGATGGATGGATGTTGCGGTCACTGTAGTTTTGGTCTGCGGTGTATATAGCTCTGTGGGCGTTTGGGATTTGGCTTGGTCGTTCCTTTTGTCCATCGCGAGATGGCAGTTATATTTAATCAATTGGGGATTTTTTTGCGTACTCCACTTCTCCGGAATAAGGATTGTGACGGCATGAATCCTTGAATTGCTGGTATAAACTTCATCCACGTAGAAGATTTCCTGCTTACTACGGACTTTTTCTCCTCCCCTATGTTGAATAAGTGCACGGCTTGACAACAATCCATGTACAAAATGAAAAAGGTCAAGACCTGACAATGCCGATGGTTAGTTTATGGCATTTACCCATTCTGCGTATAGGAACTGTTGCAAGGACTACCATCCACAACTTCGTTGTGTCCACGGCTGGATACCCATCAAGATGCTGACGAAAAAGGAACTTACGAGCCAAAAATGCCAACTCTTTCCGGCAATATTCCCATTCGGCCTGTGAAAACTGATGCTCTTCAATCTTGTGTTTGACAACATCGGCCTCGTCTTGTCCACTCGATGCCAAGTATCAAATAGGCATGCGCGACAAACTTTTCTGGAAAAAATTCAATATTGTGTGTAGATACAGTAGCATTTATGACACGAATTGCGGCTATCTTTAGGCATCCATCCCCAAAAGAGATGAGACTGTTGGACTACTCAAAGCAACTCCTCCCACATATTTGATCGAAAGCCCCTCGTACGCCGTACTATTATCCATCAAACGCTTTTTCCGTCTGAGCAGGGACTTGCTTTTGAAGAAACTCCTCCCACAAGGCCGCAGTCTCAATCCACGCGCTCGGGCTACGGCCTAGCTCACGCATCACCTGATCAAAAGATTCTTCCTTGAGACGATGCCGATAGCCATCGGCTTTCTGACCGGCCGAGTAACACCGAAGCGCCCTGTAGTCCAGGCTGGATACCCCTTCGCGGATGGAAACGTAGCAGTTGTCTACCATGCCCCGCTTAGGCTTCTCGTTCTCGAGGCGAAGCAATAAGCCACTGTTTGGATGGGGGCTTGCTGGAGATACGGGGATGTATGCATCCCATTGAGAGGCATCCATGCGTTCCCGAAATCGGTTGCCTAGTCTTGTCATTGTTGCAAATTGGACCGTGGCGTTTCGGGGACCGGTGATGTCAATGTTGAGGACGAGAATCGGATGGTTGAAGAAGCCTGGATCCTGGTCGGATAGACTGGAATCCAGAAAATTACTGATGTCTGCTTTTGGAGGCAGCCAAAGAATGCATCCATTGCAGATGTCCCAGAGTTCTGGCCGAAGTCTGTTCCCATCGTAGACTACAGCCGCTGTGCTATAGGGTCTGAGAAGATCGTTGATTTGAGGCTCTCGCTCCCAGGATGGTCGCCACGTGTCTATGTTGGAAGCGCTGGTGGGGGTATCCATGACCTGGTTGCGGGCAAATTTCTTTCCGCAGAATGAGATGCTGGTAATTCGGGGGTCACTGTAAGATAAATCAATGAACAGCTGTCATGGAGTGACGGGATACATGGCAAAATATAGGATCAGACAACAAAGGATAAAACAATTGACGCATGGCCAGCTAACACAAAGGGAAAGACAGCAGGCAGATGAGCCATGTTCCAATCCGCAAGAAAGAAAATTCGTAGGCAAACAGGACACCAACGATGCAGACAAAGAGTCACAAATCTAAGTCACGAGCGGAGGGGAGAGACGTGGATTCCAGGGCTGACGAAGAGGCCGGCGCCAAAACACTTCAGCCTCGCATCTTGCGTAGAACCTCGCCTTGATGCAACAAGAGAAGTAGCTGCGGTCCGGACAGCATGATCGCAGGCAGTCCGTATAGGCGTAGCTCCTGAGCAGGAACAACGTGCGGCACCGAGGAGTGGCTGTTCACAGAGGGAGGCTCAGCCTCGAGTGCGTTCCCTTGGGCATGATTCACATTACTCTCGGCGGGGTTTCGTGTTACGATGGTAATGCAGTAAGAAAGAGAAAAGCCGTGAAAGTGAAACCGTGGGAATTGAGACAGTGCTCAAGGTGTAGATAATACGTAGCACATGTTACAGGTGAATCTAGCGCAGCTTGAGATCATAAGGGCGTATTAGCCCGAGGATATAGTCGAATATAGGACTAGAGCCTTGAAAAGAGCCCTAGGGTTATTCTATACGACGGTAAGAGCCACGTCGGGGATAGGGTTTGAGTCGTGGATCAGTTATGAAAGTGAAGGAGAGAGATTACTTTCAAGACATGCACAAACGCCGAGACCTAAGCCAGAGTCACTTGAGATGGCAAGCTAAATGTCAATCATTCTGTGAGCATACCAGCTCTTCTCTTAAAGGATCTGCCTCCAAAAGCTACGGTAAGGTGTCTGCGTCGCGCCGGTTTCTTGCGCCCTGAGGGCAAGTGGAAAGCAACGAAGTGACTGGCGAAAGGGATGGCGCATCACCCTGCAGCGTCCTCAACGTAGTCTAAAGAGCCCGTGGCAACCGCTGATCTTCCCTCCAGAGCTTCAGAGTACAGGCTCATTTGGCATCATGAGAGAGGAGGAAGTCTGAGAATTGAAACAGCGACAGTGGATCAAACACAGATGGAACAAGGCCAGCTTCAAATAGGTATAACTCGTTCACTTCTGTACACGTGAGTGTTGAATGACGATGCCCAGCTTAAGACAGTGGCAAAAAAGGACTTTCATAGGCTGACAATGTGAGAAAGTCTGGAGTATGCGTGTGTTGAATGAGGAGGAAAAAGGGACCAGTGAAAAGTCGTCGCGATCCAGTCTTGGCATCAAGCCAAACCGCGAAGCAAGTTTAGTGTGGCGCGTACTCTTACAACTCAAAATATCCCCTTTCTTCTCCAACACCACACATCAAGCGGCATTAACAATCCTCTTCAGACTGCATCCTCATCCTCAACTCCTCAGGCATTCCATCCCCGGTTGCCTCTATTCTAAGGCATCAAATAATTCTTCAATTATGCAAAGAGCAGCACGTCTTTTCCGACACTCGTTGTGAATTGACGCCTCGGAAGAACACGCTTCAACGCGCTGCAGCAAGGCGTACCTTAGCCTTTAGCTTCTTCTTCTACTTCTTCCTCTTCTTCTTCTTCACTTTGATCCCTGCCTATCTTGGACACACTTGAGCCTTAACTGCATTGCCCCTCCACACGTCCGCTTCGTGTCAATGCGCGATTGTACCATTGTATCCTACTGGCTAAAGTCTCGAGCATCCGCTGCTTCTTCTTCTTCCTCTTCAAATTTCTTCCATTCTTCATTCTCCTATCAAAGCTATCATCAACGTTACTCGCCCTTCTCTACCTCCCTACACTCCTCTGTCCACCATCAACATACTTCAACATCATCCTCATCAACATCGCCTCTTCATATTTGTACTCTTTGACCAACGTCGAGCCAGTACTGGGCCAGGCATATTCTAGCCTGTCGCTCATACATTCCTGAAGCCGACAAAACAACAACATCCCATCCTTCAAAGCAACAGCTCAACATGACAACCCTCACAACTATGGCTTCGCCGGCCCGCTTGCCATTTGCTTCCCTGGGTGGTGCTAGACTTAGGAATATGACCAACATCAAGAACAAGCAGAATGGTAGGTCGATCGCCTATATATCACATACTCCTTCTTGGCCACTTGCTTGATCAAGGCATCTGAGAGCATCATTGATTGACATGCCAAACAGCTCTTGTTCCTACCGCTGCGTCTGCCCTGAAGCGACATGCTCCAGCCGAGTTTGACGACGTCGACTCGGAGAACATCGACCCTTTCACCTTCTCATCGCCATCCAAGAAAGGTCGAGCTTTCGACTTTGACTTGACCAAGTCCAACGACACCCCACTCTTTGCTCCCGCACCAGTCCAGCCCGCTCAATATGTCGAGCGTGCGCAAGCAGTTGGCCAGAAGCGAAAGGCAGAAGATACTGTAACCCCTGCTGCTGGAATCAAGCGCCGTGCCGAGCCATCTTCAGCCCCTGCTCCTGCCGGCCGCTCCCCAAAGAACAAGCGTATTGGAATACTATCCCGTCGTCGCATGACGACCAGCCCTTTCACTCGTGTCAATCCTCCATCTTCCTCTACCACCGAGTCCACCAATGGCCTGCCTTTCTCTATCGACGCTGCCCTCGCCGGCACGGTCCCTAAATACAAGTCCAAGTCCACACATGGGAAGGGATGGCAGTTCGATATCCATGAAGACACTCCAGATGATGAGATGGCCAATCTGATGGAGCACTCCACTTGCACTCTTGAGATCTCCGACGATGAGGGCAGCTCGTCTAAAGGCGACAAAGACAACAAAGAAAACATTCCACCCATCGATGGCCCTGCTGCCGTGACCTCAGCTACACAAGTCACCGCCACTAGGAGGGACATGATGACCGATGAGACGCGCGAACCACTGGGAGACCTCGAGGCCAAAGACTTTTACGCCGAGGGCTGTGATGCATCTTCTTGCATCATTATCGCTGCTGAGAACTCGTCTGAGCGGGTCCTGGACAAGCTGTCGACGACCATCAATACTCAGGAGCCATCCTCATCGCTCCGTTCTGATGCTGGTGCGGCAACTGAAGCTCAATCTGGATGGGAAGATGTCATCGCTCGTTTTGCAGCCAAGACTAGCACGTCTGCCGCCGACGCCGACTTTGGCATTGAAAAAGAGGGCGCGAAGGAGGCCACCGAGATCCAGATCTGGGAGAGTGAGAGCGCGAAGGGTGATGATGACGCGGATGCTCAGGGACCCGAGACTGATGGTGTCAAGCCTCAGTCGCTGTTGGCCTGATGTTTATCCTACATCAAGCACGCCTTTCCTTCCCGGTTTATCTTGCATGCTGGAGTTTGCTTTTCAACACTGTCGCCATCATCATTGCTCTGCGGTGCCACCTGCCCGACATCGATCACGTCAACGCTGCTCCAATCGGCAGCAGCGGCTCCTGGATTCGCCACAGGACGCTATCACACCTTGCAATTCCCGCAATTTCTCCGTTTAACACCAAATTTCCACCAATGTTCATCAAATCCACGCCTCCATACTTGCACTCTCGTTGTATGCTCTTTGTATTGACTGACTTCGGTGGATGTCTACAAATTCGAGCTCAGCAGATGCCTATAATGGAGAAGTGAACGTTGATTGCGCCGTGTTCTATCGCTAGCAGAGCTTCCGGTGTTGACTGACTTCGGTGCATGTCCACTGGTCGAGCTCGCTTGCCTTTCACGGTGCTTGGATGTTCGGACGTGGTGAACTTTGGACGCTTGGCGCGTGGCTTTGAGGTACCACTCATGGCTTGGTTGGATTTGAACGAAGAAAGTGTTCTCTATCTTGATTTTTCATATTTTAGCTCCATCTGTCGTGATATCTGCACACTTAAAGTAACGATGTTTTTGAAGCAAAGAATGAGACACTAAAGCTGGCATGCTTCGGGCGGGGGTGTTCTGGCTGGGCTTCTCACATTGGCAAATGGCATGGAGTGGTTAGATCTGGAAGGCTGGGAGTACAAGCATGGGTGTATGCTTGTTGGTAATAGATTACAACCGAATCAATTCACTGCAACACAAGTGTGCCCGAAGTCATAATGAGTGGTTTCAGATGCCTATAATTGGACTTCACTGTAATACCGTATCATAGACTCGAGGGTCTTCTACAACTCATGTTGCTGTGATTCTTGGGAATTGGAGCCCAGTATACACAAGCGCATACATTGTCAAAATCAACAAATAACTCAACCCGCGATATTCCCCCAACGACAAATGCTTGACGATATCTAGAAATCTTTTACGAAGCCTGTGGACTGTTCTCGATACTATCGTAGTGGAACAATGACCAAAACATGGAAAGGATTCTGTTGATATCCGGCTGACGGATTATGACATACCGGGTTGAAATTTGAAGGGCTGAAAAGCAAAACCCATCTTTCTTCCTGTCGCAGGAAACCGCACCGACTTTTCCCTTCGGGGACGTCTGGATTGGTTGCGAGGAATGCGTCAAGCTGTTGGAAAACGGTGAAGGGAAAGGCCGTAGTTGTGGAAGTGGATGGAAGGGATGGGCTGGGCTAGAGTTGCGTTTGGCTTCGTTCGGGGTGGGTGGTGGGGAGAGGGAGAGAGGAGAGAGAGAGAGAGAGAGAGAGAGAGGGAGAGAGAGGAGAAAAGAGAGAGAGAGAGAGAGAGTTGGGTAGGAGTCTTGATGGCGGTGGGAGGTGAGGTGGTTGTGGTTGTGGTAGTTGCGTCTTGTAATAGGGGAGATTTGTGCTACAGGGTGACTAGATCGATGTGACCAACCAGTTACCCCGACGCAAGACTGTTGCTAACGTGTATTGGCCGAGCACAAGCAAACAGGTTACCATTTTAATGAAATGAAAAGATAGGTCCTGCCCAGCACCGAAATACCACCCGCCACCTCAGCAACCCAAAGGTCTTATGTTCCACGGCAGACAACCCTTACCGGGCGGACAGATCGGCTCCGCAAAGACGGTCCCAAAATCCGTGTTTCCCCATCCCCCAAACGACGATCCCTGGCTATACGCGCAGTCGTCCCCGTAATTACTCTCGGTGTGATTGCCGATGCTGGCTTGCCCGAGGAGAGAGATGCAGAGGGCGTAGTCGAGGACATACGGATCTCCGTTCGAAGTTCTATCGACGCGGAAATTGGCTGTCGAGGGCCCGACGTACGATTAGCATGTGACTGGCGCGAGGGGACGCTTCCCGAGTGACCGTACCCCATAATGACACATCGGTCCCGAATTCGTCCTCGTAGATCGTCAAGCTGTAGATCAGGCCCGGCCAGCTGTTGCCCACGTTGATGGATACCGTGGTGGGAAGACTGTTCGGCACCAGGAAATGGTTGTTGCAGAAATCCGCTATGGCGGTCGTGAACACGTCGGTCCCTATCGCGGTTGGGCAACCGATGTTGTCCTTTCCTTGGTGGCAGCCATTCGCAAAGGTGCAGGGTATGAGTAGATAGATGAGCGCGAGGATTGGGAAGTACATGGTGAGAAGTTTTGAAGGATCGGGTTGGAGAGGAAGGGAGCAGTGCAGATTACCACGATGTACCTGTACGGGGGAGACCTGACCTTTTAGGATCGCTGGAGAGTGAGTGCGCATTCTTGGATTTCATATACGAAAAAAACCTTGAGACTGTCATTTCTTCATTTCACGTTTCACGTTTCGTACTAGTGTAAGTGTGCGACGGAAGTATATTTCATCATTTTTCAATAGTAAGGTATTTGTGGCGCAGTAGAGCAGTAGAGGGCAGAAATAATAAGCGGCGAAACGGCCGTAACGTGTAACGAGTAACGAAGAACGAGTAACGAGTAAGAAGAAGAAGAAGAAGAAGAAAATGTAGCGACTTGAATTATAGGCTTGTCGTCGATGTACAGTCGAGCTACGATGACCTACCTCAACTGATGAGCCTTGATCTCTTGTTTCGTGGAAGAAATTTCAGGCTCAAGAGCGATCGGGTTCGTAATTTCTGTCTGGAGTGGCGCGGTCTCCTAATTGTGTAGGTAGATGTATACCTTATGGTCTGGTCTTGTTGCAGAGGTCATTTTGAAGGTTGTCACACCACTCTATTGTTCAAACTTCTCTGGATCGCAGGGACCACCAAAAGCACTAGTCTACTCTGGGTTAGTACGCACGTGATGGCGTGGGATATCAAAGCGCGTGAACTTCATCTCCGACCGACTTTTCTCATCATTTCATTATTCACTTCGTCAGCCAACAGCATTAGGATCCGGGTAAAAGTTGGTGTGGGTGTTGTGTGTTATCTGTGTCTTTGTGTGACTCCGATTGCTATTTGCTTCTCGCATGCTGGATCTGTGTTCTTTCCTTCCGCTTCTCAAATGAAATCCAAAATGCTTCGATTGTTTCCCCACTCACATCAAAATGCCTCTTCTGTTCCTCCAATTGTGTAACTTACTCTCGGATCTCGAGAAAGTGTCGCACCGTGACCCACCTCTTCTGCCAGCACATCGTCAGCAGAGGTATCGGGAAAATATCGAGCAATGGCTCACCACTCATCGAGTTTCCATCAATTCGCCTGACATTGACCTTGTCGTCTTACTTTCTGCTCTCTTCCCTGAGAAGCGTACGGACCGCGTCTATAATATCAAGCTCAAAAGTCTCACAAACCTACTGAAGAGATGCCTTGGCCTTGGGAAAGACAGGTTGGAGATGCTAGATCAATGGCGGAAACCGGGCCGAGGCAGTCTCTGTGATTGCGTTGAACGTGCCCTTCGACAAGCAGAATTTCCCGAACAGCCGGCAAACCAGATTACTCTCGAGCAGGTAGACAAGGCACTTGCGACAATTGCGGGAAAGTGCCGATTTTCTGGGCCGAAGGTCAAAGGACCCAAGGACAGCTTCCTCGAGGTCGAAGACGGTCGACAGGTCCTGAAGATTTTGGGGCAAACCTACAAACGAATGCAGTCTAGAGAAGCCAAGTGGTTTACCCGGATGATCCTGAAAGATTACTCCTGCCTCGATCTATCCGAGAGCATGGTCTACCATCACCTTGACGTTCGTCTACCCACAGCCATGCAAATGTACGACAACTTCGAGGCCGCCATCAGCGAGCTAAGAGGCTTACCCGCATCTCAGATGGCAGGTTCCAATCAAGGTGCCTTGATCCAGCGTCATGCGAATGACGCCCGTTTACTTCAGCCCAGGATCGGCGTCAAACTTGGTCCGCCCAAATGGGTGAAAGCGAAGGGTGGAGTCAAGCATGCTGTGTCAGTCGTTGACGGAAGGACCATGAGCATCGAGAAAAAGCACGATGGAGAGTATTGTCAGATTCATATTGATATGTCCAAGGGTGAGGAATGCATTCAGATATTCTCCAAGAGTTGCAAAGATTCTACTTCGGACCGAAGAGGTGTTCACCGGGCTATCAAAGACAGTCTGCGCATCGGACGCCATGATTGTGGCTTTTCTAGAAAATGCATTTTGGAAGGGGAACTTTTGGTTTGGAGCGATAAGACGAAGGGGATTTTGGAATACCACAAGTTACGGAAGCATGTTTCTAGGTCTGGCAGCTTTTTGGGTACCGAACTGGATTCTCAGTAGGCGTACATCGCCCGAGCGTGCAGATTTAGTGCTGATCTGAGTACAGACCTCATCCTTGGGAACACTTGATGATTATGTATTACGACCTTATGCTTGTTGATGATGATCCAGTCGTCCACAGACCACACAAGAAGAGGCGGCAGCTCTTGGAGGGGCTAGTAAGCCTTATTGAAGGCCGCGCAGACATAGTGTGGCAAAAGCACGTTCGGTTTGATAGACCGACAGGACCTGAGAAACTCAAAAAGGCTCTGGCCATGGCATTTGTCCTACGATGGGAAGGTCTGATTTTGAAACCTTCCGATGAACCCTACTTCAACCTCGGAACCCGTGGCCAAGGAAGGTTCTCAAATCGTTGGGTCAAGCTGAAGAAAGACTGCATCAAAGGTTTGGGCGATACTGCTGATTTCGCCGTTGTCGGTGCTGGCTATGACGTCAATGAGGCCGAAAAATATGAGGGTATGAATATACGCTGGACGCACTTCTACATTGGCTGTTTGAGGAACAAAGCGGCTGTCTTGCATGCTGGCGAGAAACCTCAATTTTTCGTCTTTGACCAAATCAAGGACTGCATCAAAAGAGAAGACATGAAGACGCTGACCGAGAACGGATATCTCCGAGCAATGGGTACAGAGTTCCCAGATACTTGGGAGGTTTTCGATATCGAGCTCGCGCGAGGATTGCCATTGATGAGTGTCGTCTTCCGACAACCCTTCGTCTTCGATGTTGCAGGCAGCGGCTTTGACAAATCGCCGAATCGTGATGTCTTCACCCTCCGGTTCCCACGCGTCATGAAGATCCGGCTAGATAGAGATTGGAGAGAGACTGTAGATCTTGATGAGCTACAGCACATGGCAACCGAAGCCAGAACGGTACCTACCGGAGACTTATCCGATAACATTGCGGGCTGGATTGAGAAGCTGAACAACGTCGATCGCGGCGCCAGAGGAAGGATGACGTCTTGGGACTTCACTGACGACGAGGAAGACGGGCACTATTTATTGATACCAGACGCAGAATCTTCTACGCCAAAGGCAACTCGGCGTCCACGAGCGGCAGCAGTTCCACCGCTAATACGGATGGACACCGGAGAAATGCGAGATCAAGAGCGGAGGCTTAGCGATGGTGCTGTCGTTGAACAGCCTAAATTAAAGCACTCAATGGGCAGCATCACAAATGACGGCACTCTGCAGACACCACCAAACTCTTCACCGCGTTCGAGAAGCAGTGGCGTCACATCCACTAACAGAAAGACAACTGGATTTGGCGAAAGTCTTCGTGGACCTTCAAGGAAGCGCAGTGCTGAACGTGACGACAAGGAAGATTCTATCAGGAAAGCGAAGAAGACACGGCCGTTTCCTATACAACACTCAAAGAGCGAACCCAAGCCCACCGATAACACACGGTCCACGAACTCCAAACAGATCACGAACAACAACCGGTCCCCCACGCTCAAGAAGCCTCTACGTGAGATTACGAATCTGTCCCGACCTCCTCTTTCAGCCCGGTCTACGGACACTCTTGAACCAAAGCCACGGTCGACAACCCACTTCTCCCTTGTGCGTAAGACTGCCGTTGACACAGACCGGCATTTCCATCGAAGGAGGAACACCTCCAAAGTATATGTCGAACCTTCGTCACCTGCCAGAGAAACCACTGCTTCTGAATCGACTTCTGCTGATACCACACAGCAAACTATATCCGAGGAATCTCGGCCTGCGCCTCTTTTACCACCTGACCGTGCCACGATAGAGATCGGGAGCCTTCAAAACCCTCCGAGCACTGCAGAACGGGCCTCAAGCATGCAGATACCGAATATACCAGAGTGCGATGTCATGTTAGGCCCATGTCTGGTCGACCAGAATCACAAAGTTCACGAGCTTTTGTTCAATCATTACAAATCGGCATTACCATTTCCCAGAAGCCGTCCAGCAGAATGTTCCCCCCCGAGCTTTAAATCGAAGCCTCGGTGTGAGCTCGTTGTACTGGTCGAGTCCAACGACACTCATGCCGTCGGTCGGCATGTTGGAGCGCTCTTACATCATTTATTACTTTGGCATCCGCGAGTGGTGACTCTATGGGACTGGCGGTTCCTGGAATTTAAATCGCCTCAACCGATGGAGAAATGCCATAGGACAGCGTTGATCCATAAGTACTTCGTTGCAAAAATGTGGTGGGATCCTCTGGCTAAGGACCAGGGAGCGGTGGTGCTGAAATGGTGTGGTGGCAAGTCCAGGCTGGTGCTAAAGGCAGAACTTGATGAGATGGAGTGGATAGAGGGTATTTGATCTCATGTTTGCGTTGTATTATTACCACACTTTACTAGCGAATAAAATCATATATACATACTGTCGAAGGAAAACATGATAGACTCGTAATGATGTCTATTGTATGCTAATTTCATCATTCTGTCCTACTTTAAGTACATGGCTACCCTTGCGCTCCGCCCATGCTGAGCATGAATCTTCGAGTCGAAAAGCGAGTCATACGCTCATTCAATGTGATTTGTTAACGAGTCCCGTCTTTGCTGCATCCCTTGGGTTTATCATCGGTCAGACTCTGCTGACTAGAATGGTTGTACCAAAAGTCTTACCCAAGATACTCCGTGGTGATGCTGAGATGAAGCCGACGAATCGCCTCCATCAACGCACCTTCTACATTCGACGATAACGTCGACGGGTTCACTACTCCTATAATCCTTGAAAGGGTGGTTGTCTCGATCAAGGACAACGCGTCCCTCGGCACACGTCCGTAGGACTTTCGTGAGTAGGAGTCTCGAGGCCGAGCCTGGGGCGTACATGTATAGCACACCGTGGGGGATATTGGTCCAGCCACTGTCCTTGCTCAAGATCCCGGTCTTTTTGTGAGTCGAAAAGGACTGTGGTGTCGAGTTCGTGTTTGCCATGAGCGCGAGGGTGTCCTTGAATTGTTAGCTGATCGTTTATGAAGTCTGGTATCGAATAGTTGCTGTAGACGTCCGCTTCGGAAGTCTTGGCCATGTTAATCAGTTTGTCTCTGGTCTTCCGAGGACATACAGCGGGTCCTATGAAGTGGATAAGCCCCGCTTCTCGTTATAGGATATATTATCAGAACTCTGCTGACGACCTACTCCGTGCTTTTTCATCGGCTTTCCCGTACTCAAGGAGTCCACAAGCGTCTCGGGCTCCGTGGTTCGATCCGGCTCCACTGGGCACGGCAGCCGTGTTCTTTGCGAGCGCTGTGGATACGAGACGCGTTTGAAGAACTGCGCTTCGACTGCGAGGGGGATTTGCCGCTGGTGGTGAGGGGTATGTTTATATAATTGATCATTGTGAAGGCAGATTCAGAGGGTTAGGGGACAGAATGAAATCGAAGCCGAGGATATCCATACTCTCGACAATGCACGGAGCTCCACATCAAGATGACGATAGGACGCTGTGGCTTGAGGCCTTTCTCTCAACATGCAGTGATCGGTCGAGCATTGCAGCAACGCGGTGTGTGTAGTATGGCTGGCATCATGCTCGATGTGAGTCGAAGTTACCGAGCGTGAGGGTTTGAAATTATAGACCGCAAGTGAATGTTTGCCTGCCAGCCTCACTACTATGACAAGGTTGGTAAACCAAATCAACAAACGAAATGCAAAATCGGAGGATAGGTTTTCGTTTAGAACAGTAGATGGCTTGAAAGGGGGTTGGACGTATTCTTGACCAAACAACAACAGCATACACAAGATACGGGCGAAGACAGGAGAAGAGTCTCGCTGATGTTGGCAACATCAACATCAAGCACATTATATAGTGAAGTCACAGTTGATATAATAAACGCCGTAGTGTTCTCAGGCTCCATTGCAAACGGAGCGGCTTCTGGCCAACGCCGGCCTCTCAAGTCCTACCTACCTGCTCCCCCGTTTGCTCCTCGGTCCGTCTCACCTGTTTTCAGTTCGGTTTTGGGGATAAAGGCGAAGATCTGTTCTTCAATTCTGCTCTTAGTCGCTCCACTACCACCTCGCCTGGGAGCTGCGCATCACGGGAGTCCATACGAATACGAACGCCAAACAAAATGGTGATGTCAGGTCACGTCACTTACCACCAGTAAACATAAGAATCCCCCCCATTTGCCTCACTACAAAGACCCAAGAAATCAATCACTCTCCTCTACTATCATTCCCGACAACCCTCAATACCCATCTCCGACCCAACACCACCACCAACAAAATGACCACCACCTCATCCCAGGGTTCCCACCCAACCCGGACTCCCTCCTTCCAGCGAGCAGAAACTCATCGACGATGTCCTCAAGCTCTACCAACTCCAACCCTCCGAACAAGCCTACTCCCACTACAGCGAAGATGCCGTATTCCGTACGTACATTTTCAAACAATCATCTCCCGGCTGGTATCAACCCCCCGAGTTTCCAAACATCTTTCGCGAGCAGCAGGCTCCATACCATTATCAGTTCCCGTCTTACGAGCCAACTCATCCTCCCCGAAGAAGCAAAAGCGCTGACTCCAGAACGAGCATAAGACGACCCCGTCTCCATCGCCAAAGGCCTCGACAGCATCAAGTCCCAATTCAACGGCATGCCCAAACTCTTCGCCGAGTCCATCACCGAGAAATGCGACATGCTCGCTTCGTCGACGTCGAGTCGGATCGAGTTGAATCTGACGCAGAAATATGTGTTCAAGTCGCCGATTCCGTTCAAGGAGAAGGGGACGGAGAAGCCGGTGAATTCGAAGTTGACGTTCCATTTGAATGGGGCGGGGTTGATCGAGAAGCATGATGAGGAGTAAGCGCTGTCTTTCTTTGGAGCTGTCTTGCCCTCTGATAACTCCCGCTGTTGGAGTTCCAAAATGTCTTTTGCGAGTAAAAGGCTCTTCTTTACTCCTATGACCTGTTTTGCAATTCGAGTCTTTTACTCTTGCCTCTTGGCATGATCCATGATGCTGATTCTGAAACGGACAGGTGGGATCATGAAACTAACAAACAAGGAGACGAGGGTTTCATGGGGAAGGTGCAGGCGTTTAGGAAGAAGACGGATGCCAAGTTGGTGGAGAAGACTGTGCCAAGTGATCCTAGCAAGGTTTGAAGTGGGCTTTGTGGAAATAAGGGAAGCTATGGCATTGTTTGATAGTGATTGAAACATGACGAGATATACGAAGCTTAGCATTTCTCATAAGCATAGCAGATGAAGAGGTATAATGATAGCACAGCTATCATTCCCACCGGCTCGAGCATTCAATAGAACGGTTATGTTGTTCCCTTTGCTCTTTGTATCATGCTCAAGACCTCCTCTTTTCCAGCAGCCCATGAGCGGGAACGCTCGGACCGGCGTCTTCAGCTTTGTAGGTGTTGGAAAAGACCTTGAGGAAGGCATGTGAGAGATGCATGGCTTCAATGGAAAAGTCCTAGGGCTAGCCGGTCAGATGGGCGAGTGAGTACAAGATTATAGAGTAATTCTCTATAATCACTAAGCATTGATTCCCTTTCCAACGCGACAAGGCTATCACCTCCGCAGATCAGGGAGACAACGCTTCCGTTGAGGCAGGAGCAAGATGCTTGGATCGAGGCACATGATCAGGAAGTTGTGGAACAAAGGGCAATCCATCTCACTGAGATACGTCCCTTCAGGGAGCGAAGTTTCTTTGTTCATGTTCTTTCATTGCTTCCCTTGCCCAGCCCGAATGCCTGTTCAGCTAACAAGGACCTTTTGTGTCTCTTAAACATGACCTACGTGTGGATCTGACTTTGCAGCTTGCCCGAACAAGATGTTTTGTTCAGCCTTTTGTCCTGCGCTCCGTCTTTATGCGTCCGCTCGCCCACACCAGGACGATGCATACACCTTTCCATGCCGGTCTCAAGCATCAGGTTTTCTTTAGCAACTCAATAGTATCACCCAACGTCCATCTTCCCAAACATCTGCTACTCAAACATGCATAGCTCCCCCCTCCTTTTCCTCGCCTTGGCAACCGTAGCCCTCGCCCTCCCGACCAGCGACACCGTCGGTGCAACCGTGATCGAAAAACGCTCATCCAGACCCTGGCTTGACTCCTTCGACCTCGACGACGTCATCTGCCAGGACCCAGACGGCGACACCAGCGACGATCCCCGGCCCTTTATCCAAGCAGGCGAATGCGTGACTTTCCAACCGGCGACCGGCCGGGTCGGTGGCAGCTGGGGCGCCGGGGGGTTTGAAATCGGCAGCTTCTGGGCGTTTGAGAGTGACGATTGCACGGGGCCGGTCAAGGCGAATATTACGCAGAAAAATCAGGAGCAGGGTTTCTGTTTCAACTTGGATATTTTGGGCTGTCAGGCTGGAGAGGATCTGAGCAATCCGTGCTTTTGGAATAGCGTGAGGGGGAACTAGTAGGGGTTGGTGATGTCGATTGAGATGTTGTAAGTTCAAGGTATGGAAGACATACATCGTTTCATTTTGGTGGCGTTTTGACGGATTTTGTCTTGGCTGCATTGTCGGGTTTTGGGATGGCTGTTGTTGCGTCCAGCTAGTGTGATCCTGGGGAGGGCGTGGGAGGCTCGTCTTGTCAAGCACTGAATGAATCTCTATGAAACACGCAACATCTTGGTCTTCTCAGTCTCCATCAGTAAGTGTGTCCACCTGAGGTGGTCAAGCTGTACCCCGATGATCATTGCTTTCCCAACTTGCAACTTATGCCCTGTCGTCACAGTGAGCGGCGTCATTCAACAAACAACATAACAATGTCATCCACCAACGGATCATGAGGCTGCCCAAAACACATGCATCCTCATTTCCTCAACCATGCTCACAAATATCCCGCGCACCACTCTCACCCACACACCCAGACTGTCCCCCACCTCCAACTGCTTCATGAAGTTTACCTGCTCCCTCCGGTCTTCCTCGGCTAAAGAATGCACGAAGTTGTTTACATGCGCTTTTTCTGCCGCAGAAAGACGTCCCCGAGTTTTCCCACCAGGTCCCACCCGTCGTCCAGGTATTCGGCACCGGCAACGTAGTCACTGTCGCATCTCCATAAAACTGTCTTCTGCCCCATCATACCGTCTGCAAGTGCACTATGGTTCAAGTACAAATCGATTTTCGTATGTGCTGGGTCGCAGAAGCTTCGCTTAATATGCCACGACCTGTAGATATCGCCACAGATTTGCTGTAACCGCGGGCTACCCTCGAGAACTCGAGCGGTTGGCTTGAGGACAGCCCTAGGTGCTAATTCTGTTGGTGGCAGATGCTGTTTGATGCCTATTTCGAGGCGGGTTGAACTGACAGTCAACGAGCTTTTACCGCAGAATCACAGTACGCGTAGAGCCCGGGCGATGGATTTTCAGGTCACTACTTTTGAAGGCTTTCTTCAGATCTTCGAAGATCGAAATCACGTTTGAATTATCTTCACCGTAAAAGGTTCACTGAGAGATTACGTTGTGCTTTAGTGAGAGAAAGAGAGAGAGGATGTCGTCAGTCGAAAAGCGCATAGGTGGCTCGTATTCGTAAAGTCACGTGCGCCGGCTTCTGCATAAGATTAGTAGATCGCCACTTTCCGAGGTTTTTCACCGCTCTCGTGTCTGATCTCTTTACTTTAGCCAACAATTGTATAGGTGCTACCGATATCTTGTTTGCCCGCAGTATATCTATAAGCTACTTCGGCGGTGGAAAGGAAGGCTAATAGCTTCCAGCCTGAACATGTAGATGTTACGGGAGCGAAGAGCTAATGCACTCCACCCTACGAGTACTCCCTCCTCCATCCAGTTGTGTCTTATCATAAACTTATATTACATCCCAACGCGTTGGGTCTTGCCAGGCCGGAGCCCAACTGGAAACATTGACTACGCGATACTCTACCTTAATCTGATAGCAACTTTAACTGCGTCCTAATCTCCAAAATGGCTCACAAGGTGCCGAGCGAGCAGTCCCCAGACCAGACTCCTGTTGACTTCGACATCAACAAATTTCCATCTATGAGCGCCATCTTCTGGGTCAAAACATTCTTCCTCAAAAGACTCCCACTGGAACTCGTCGAATTAATCCTCGACCATGCCGAATACTGGCCGCACACCACTACGATCAAACCTAGACTGGAACTCGTGCGGACCCCAGTCAAATGGCGTGGCACATCTTCCGATATCGTGTCGAGAACTTGGCCGAGTCGCGAATCCGAAGCCATGCAAGAGGTGCTTGGCTTCACGCTATACTCGCCACCGTTGGCTTCCGAAAGTAGTCTTACTCGTGCTGCTACGTTAAAAAGGGGACTACGTCGGTTTATGAGTAAAGATTCGGAGATCTGTTTGCCACCAAGAGGTCAAAATCCTGCACGCATGGTTGTCTTTGAAGTCGGCAGTCAGCGGTACGATATTCAACCCGGCAAATTCTGTGATGTTGGTATCGTTAGAGAAGACGAGCTGCTGCTCGGACAGGACGTTCCGATGGTAGAGGGTCAACGGAGGAATTCGAGCGTATTGTCTGCTTTCCGGAGTACGCAAAAGCTGTCGAAACCCTCGAAGCCAGACAAGACACAACACCTGGTCGCCCAAAGAGAATGTTGGTTCTCAGCGCAAGCGAAGGCGGAGAGTAAGTACGTTATCAAACTGAGATATGACGAAGACGTAGACGATGAAATCAGGAAACACGCCGATGAAGATACGATGCCTACCACAGCAGACTTCATCAGAAAGCTGAAAGTTGGCGATAGCATTGGACTATGGGCACCCGTTTTGAGAGGCAATTGCGTGTATAAGATCGACGAATTGAAGATGCATGCCTTCTGGGCGGTCTAAAACATCTACCAATTTTCGATTATCTGCCGCTTTCCGCGAGAAGTATCCGCCGTCGCGACACGCGCCTTTATGCAACCATGATCATATTCTCATGTGCTTTTGACTGCTCAGGGAAATCGCTCTATCCACGTTGCCTCCTCCAAGCTGCAAGATTTGGCCTTTTTTGTATCCCAAGATGAGGGCCATGACTTCATTAGCGCTCCTTTTTCGTAGCTTCATGCTGGTCTATGCGTTATCCTTGCCTTCGTAAGTATCTGATGTGGATTCTTTCTCAAGCTCTCCAAACACAACCAAGTAAGCTTTTCGAACTACTCAAATTTGGGAGTACGCAATAGTAACAATGAGACATGCAGCCTATTAACCCTCAATGCGCCGCCCTCCCCACCAGGCTTCGAAGTCCGCATCCGTTTCAACAACACCGTATCTCTTAATCCGCTGGACGTATACGTCAACCCCATCGGGCTCATCTATCGAGCCGTGCAAAATAGCTGGGAAGAAACCGTTGAAGGGGCATCAGGCGACGCGTACGGCGTGGATAAGTTAGTCGTTAGTACTGCACCGGCTACGATAGCCAACCAACTCCGGAATTGCCATGTTGCTTCGGGACTTTTACAAATGATCTATATTATACTTGATGGGAACAGATTTCGTCTGATGCTGGCCCATTATTCCCACACAAGAAAGAAATTGGGGGTTTGAGCATGCTCGAGTGACGTTATGAGGAATGATGGCCTTTCCAATGACAGTCTGAGCACCTTGTCGAATGACAGATTAGATACACCGGGACCCATAGTTGACCCAGACGACCACGTTTTCATCGTCACCCACTCTTACGACAGCGAGATACTTGTCAACGAGGAAGTCTTCACGTCAGTTCGCGACGGCTTAACGAGATCAGCGGTAATCGACAACGAGCATTCCTGCAACGCTTCCTATGCTGCTAGTCTAACAAGTAAATTTGTTCTTGGGGTTCTGACCACTCGCTCTGAGACGATGCCGCTGAGTACTTCTATGTGAGGAAACTCTTTGGTTTACTTGCTTTGGAGATGGTTGCCCGGGACAAATACGCTGAGGTGGTATTGGAATTGAAGTATGATGAGGAGAATATGCAGGATGAGTCTATGAGCCTTACGCCGGTCTTGGTTAACGGAACAAGTGGGATGGCGAGTGAGAGGACATCGATCAAGAGAAGTCTAGATCTGTCTGCAAGGTCAGTACCTTGGAAAGTTGAAGCTGTGAGGTGAGAGATGACTGAATTGCTAGCTGATTGCTACTGACATCCTTTGGGAAACTTCAATTCTATCCGTCAATTCACTCTAGCAATATTTGCCTCGCTTCCAGCTAGGCCCCTCTTTTTGCTTGCATGGAAGGTATTGCAGATTTGCTCTTGCGCTTTCTCTTCATTCATTTCAGGCCGCTTTGATCAGATGCAAACATCTGACTGGCCACAACGCAAGCAAACCCTACAGCATTGAATAAGCTTAAGGCTCATTGGGTCCCTGAGTTTCTTAGTTCCTTATGAAACTTTCACTTCGATAGGCAAACCCAAGTCACCTTTGCTCCTGCCATCCGTCACTGTATAATTTGCAAGGCCTGAGTCACAATAACCAATCCTTCCCTCTCAACTTATCGCTTACGGCTCTCACCTCCTTCTGATCATGGACGAGCCTCTTGATACTAGAAGTGTGAACAGAAACAACGAGGAGTCCAGCACAGACCTGGTTGAGCTTGGGAACTTGCACACACCAGGAGAGGACCTTCAGGAACAAGCCATGCAAGGAGAGAAGTCAGGCGAAGGGAATGAAGATGGAAAGGACCACATCACACTCTTGCCTTTCGAGGTCATGAGTAAGGCATTCGCTCAGCTCTCTCGCGAGGAACGCTTGACAACCACTTCGCTCGTGTGCAAAAAGTTCATGGACGTCAATCGCTCATACATCTACAAATTCATCCACATCAGTTTGGGAAACCAACGAGAAGGGGGGGAAGACAACCCAGGTTTGGAAGAGTTCGGAGCATGGTTCGCTACCCTACTCAAGCATGACCAACTGCGCGGTCGCGTCGTCTCGTTAGCCTTCAAGGTTCATCACCACGACCTGTACCTCCAAGTCCAAGGACATCTGGAAAACTTGGTGAAACATCTTAAATCTTTGAGAGAATTGTCGCTCAACCCTCCACCGTCGCGCTACGACTTTCCAACCAATCCAATGACAACTTTTCTGCGACTGGATTTCCACTACGACAGGACCACCTTCTGGCAAGGCTTCCCTAGCCTGCCGCCGCTCGAGCTGACGCAGTTCTTCTACATCGACCACATCCGCAAGCTCCAGATCGAGCACATTTCCTTGGCGCCAGAGCTGCATCGCGGCCCTTTCTCCATCCGCCGAGACCAAACATCACTCATAGATGATCTGCGCTTCATCGACTGCTCTCCCCAAACCGTGGGAAAATTGCCCGATCTCCTACTCTTGCCTCAATCGCTCAAATGTTTCGTCCTGGAGACAAAGTGTCCGTGGTCCGTGGCACAGACCCCCCCGTGCACGACCGCATACCATGGACGCACAGCAGCTTTACCAAGCGTTAGAGCCTCACTGTCGTACTCTTGAGACGCTCGTCATCGCGTTCAGCGACGGCGCAGGGTTCCTGGGGAAGCCGACATTGTCCCTTGCGGGCTGGTCGAGTCTGACAACACTCGCTCTCCCGGAGGCATTCCTCGTCTGCGGGCGTGCTAAGAAGCCTTTGCATGCCGTGCTGCCTTCCCGACTGGTCGAATTGCAGATCCAATTCCCTCTGCTTAAGCCATCTACTATCCTGCGTCTGGAACAGCTCGCGGAGAACAAGAAGGATTGCATGCCCGAGCTCAACCGCGTCGTCGTGTGGCATCAGGGCCGGGACCAAGAAAACGCGGCCGAGGGTGGCGATCTGGGGGATTTGGAAATGCTCCAGGGTCTGTTCGGGTCTGTCGGCACACAGTTCGGATGGTGCTTCGAGTCGGCGTTTGCGGGGACTCCGCTGGGGAAGGTGTTGGGGGTCGAGAGCACGGGGGGTCGAGGCCAGAATGTCCACGCTCACGTGCTAGATGCCGGGGGCGCTTCGGGGGTGGGGCTCTATTACGACGAGGATACGCATTCTGTCTTTTGAGCGGGGCGGGAGGTGATGGGGTTGGAGACTTTTGTCACTGGGCACGAGAGAGGGAGATGAGGTATTGGGTGTGAGGAGGAGACTGGTCGCTATTGCATAGGTTGTTCTCAGAGAGCATGCGCGATCGATTGAAGAATGCCATGGTGGTTGGACTTAGTGCTCGAATGTTGCATTGGGTATCATTACGTACAGACGCGATTGGCATGAGAAGACAGTATTGGCATGACCTGCATATTGCCCTGTTAGTGTCTCATCCGCATGCCCCATCACATACCCTAATATCCCATCACCTCTCAACCCCGTAACCCTGATTTCATCTGACCGATGTATAAAGCCTTTTTCGATCTTTCCCTCGGCGCTTCAAAAGTAACCTTGCGGTTGCACACTTGGTATCTCAAGCCCTTTCCACCTCTCTCGGGGCGCCTCAAGCCCCGGAACCTCTTCGCTTCCATATCCGTTTCCAGGCCCGCTCCTATAGACCACAGCATTCCGCTCCGATCGCCTGGTCCGTAGGATGAAGAGTACGGCGACCGCTACGACCAAGAGCAGGAGTGCACCCATGATAGACCCGACTATTATCGCAATCTTTTTGCTCTTGCTGAGACCACTCGTTGTGCTTGAGGGAGTAGGAGGGGTTGATGGTTGTGTGGGTATTGGGGTGATGGCGCTTGAGCTTGCGATCCTTGAAGATGTGGTAGGAGCAGTGGTAGGAGTAGAAGTTGCTGAGGAGAGAGGAGTGTGGGTTGTAGCGACAGAGGATGTCGTGGTGCTTGACGTGCTGATTCTCGACGACGAGGGACTAGCTGCTGTGGGATTAGATGTCGCGCTGGATGCGGCTGTTTCTCCCCCGGCCTGTGAGTTGGTCCACAAGACAGGCCTTTGTCCAACGTCTAGCACGATATTGAAATCATTGCTGATGAACGTGGGTGGAGTTGCGCTAGAGGCGCTGAGGTCGGACACTTCGAAGTGGCACACCCAGGCATTTCCGTCATCGAGAGGTACGAGAGCCGAGCCTGTTGCTGGAACAGACTGGTTATATGCTGGACGGTGGAGTCAGATAGGGATGGAGTCCACGCGGGAGGCCAGGAAGACCTACGATAAGCATAGTGGGCGGTGTCGTTGGGATGTTGGCACCGGAGTAGCAGATATGGAGCGACAAAGTTCGAAGTCCAGGATGCATTGACTGTATCGAGGTAATTGTATGTAGGGAGCGTGTTGACGTCAGGGTACAGCCATTTGTCGGCAGGAGAAGGTGGTGCGGGAAGGGTCGCAGCACAGGTTCTTGTGAGGAGTGTCGCAATGAGGGCGGTGGATTTTGCGATGCGAGATGTCCTGGAGTATGAGTAGATCCTGTTGGGCGCGCGCATCGCACAAGAAGCGAGGTTCTGAGTTCAGAAGGACGGGGTTTCCTTCACCATGCGGTATAGTATCAAGCGCCTAAGATCAGCTTTACGAGGCTGGGAGCCATGCAATCGTTGCAGCAATTCAAAGCTACCACGAGCCTTGAATTGAAGCAACTCGAGGAAGAAGGAAAGAGACAGCTTCTCGGTAGCAAAGCCTTGTCAATATGTTGGAATTCAGCATCTCAGCCCTGTTATGCTTGGCAAGGACTATAAGTAGCAGTACTCCTCCATAGAAAACAACAAGCCGTCATCAAATTCATCACAATACCTATCAATGAAGCAAAATCCTACCTACTTCGGCTGACGTGCTGTAGAAAGGAGATTGAGATGCTGGGTTGTGGCGCTGCCGTTTCATCTTGGAAACTAATTATACGAGTATGCACCGACAAGGATCAAATTGACCGCCCAGCTGAACATGGACTGCAATAAATAACATTGACTGCAGCAACATGAAAAGCCTGAAGAGAATAGCATCAAGATCTCCAAATTCGGCAGGAAATGAAGTTATCTAGGAGAACTGTTTGTATCTCTCTCTTCAAGTTTGAGGATGGACTTTGGAAACCCGCTAATCCGCCTCGCAAGGCTGATCGGCGACGCTAAGCTTCAATCGCCGAATTTCAACCCTCTCTCTTCTCGCTCTCTTGCCTGACTATTGAAATAAGACAGCCGACGAGAAATGTATCGAAGAGGTGCTCCAATTCTATGCCTGCGCTGGTTGACCCGAAGATAAAGCAGCTCAGACCCAAGAATAACCACAGGATCGGGATTCTACAAACACTGGTGGAACATCTCGAAACCCTCCGAGTTCTATCGACGCACTCACATATTTCCCCGCTCACCCACCTTAGTCTGCACTCGTGGTTTTGTACTTTCGCCGTTGTGGATTATTCTCTGCTTACTTCGATGATTTATGTGCCAATAATGCGTGTTCGGAGCCGTGCCGCAAAGATCATGGGTTCTAGTGTCGTAAAGCAACAGGGTCATGAGAATATTCGAGTTCTTGCTACAAGTACGGTGGTTTCCACGGCACAAACAGCGTCTGGCCTGTAAGACATACTCAACACATTTCCCACCTTGTATCTCCTCCAACGGAAGCCAGAGACAATATGAAAACAGTGTGGGTGGGGCGGAGCAGCCTCAGCCGTGCCGTAGATCCATGGAGGTCATTCAAGATTCAGGTTCCCTCGATGGCATTGACTAAAGGCATGGGTTGTCTCTAATGTTTCTTTCATCTCGCAACCACTTCTGCGGTTTGTTGTTAGGATATCTCGCGGAAGCATTATCACACATTTCGAGAGGATGAGTCTTGACGTTGATAATCCTCATAAGGACGCCCCAGTGCTCTATCAACCGCCGTTCATTAGAAAAGCGCTAGAAGAATTCAAGTCGCCCGAGGTCCAGTACGTAGTGGAGATCTATTCGTCGCTAGTCAAGGGTCCCCTATGGTCTTGTCCGACTTCTGATTCCCTGACTGAGGATGAATCGCCTCCTCGCTTAATGGCAAAAGGTTTCTCGGACTTCGAAAGTCGACTTCTACTTGACAATTGGGCTCCCCGTTGTCACAATATTTTGCATTGTTGCCACTCCAGTCTTAAGATCGTTGATGGCTGCGGCAAGGCTGAGGTGCGGTAAAGAATTAAGTTTTATAGAAACACACCGTACATTCCTTGCATCAATTAAGCTTCCTCATACGTTCGACGTGTCTGATCACGTCTAATTATAGACCCACGGTGGGAAACCAGTCAACTGCCTCGGTCAGCAGCAACAACGTCTCATCTCTCCACCCTACTACCTCCTGCACGAGAATCAGTACTCCTTCCACGGCATGCCCAGTGGCGGTAACGCTAAATTCAGCACAAACTGTAACACCAACTATCCCAACTCCAATCTGCTTGGCATTTTGGTATACACATTCGAGGACTGTATCGGGGCATGCGCGAGCTACAATTCTAGGATGACGCTGCATCCTAATTCGACTTGCTCAGCTGTGGGATACCGTCTAGACTTTCTATAAGCTGAGCCGGGAAGAGGCGGCAATTTTTTCCTGCAGAGCAAGAAAAGATCTCGGGACAGTAAGGAATGGAAATGCCAGCGCTGCGGTACTGATTACGGATTGATGTTCCGAGGAGATTGTGGCGTCTGTGGATGAGAAAGCGAAATCATAATTTCCCCAGTCAGAACACTGACGATTTGCTGGGGTTGGAATAACTAGATATCTCAAGGCAGAATTATATTAGCGAGGGACGAGCTAAGTGCGTGGCACGATTCAGCATAACAACCTTTAACAATCAAAGACTGTCCCAAGCAGCCGGTATCGTCGTGTCCAGCTCCACTCCAGATGTTCAGCTATCGTTGCCTTGACGGCGAATTTGTTTGACTGATCATCATTTTTGTGTTGGGGTACTCTACACGTGAGACGAGTTGACGCTTGAGACATCTTATCCGAGTTCATACGTCGACTCTTCAGGCGGTGAGGATCAAGAAGGAAGCAAGGTATCTTGAAGCAACCGCCTGTCCCAACAGTGTCCGGACGGGACGACAGGAGCTTTGCGGAGTAGAACACGAGCGTATCGAGTTTTGACCTCGGAAAGTCATTCGCGTTGGGTCAGCGGCGTTACAATTTACGTACAGGTCAAAGCACATACCCTGTTTAGATGCTGAGATTCGAAAATGACGGTAGAGAACCTTCTTGTCGCCGATTGCCAAAGCACATCTTGCAACATCAACGGAGCTCTTCCAAGTGGTGGAAGTGGGTATAAAGTAAGTAATAGAACTTGCATGGTTTTCTGCCAAGACAGATCTAAGACATTTCGCGCTAGAGATGTGCGCTAAATAACTTTCAGCATTTAGCGCGCCAACCATATCCCCAGATCTTCAATTCTTCCCCGGAACTATCACACGCCATCTTGCACCGTCCCGTGCTTTTATGTCCAACAACCTGGATATATACTGGGATGAGCTCACGTCAAGAAATTCTCCGATTGCACAAGGCTTCCCCAACTTCTACGTGGCTTCTAGACTCTTGCAGGGATAGGAAAAGGCTTCCAATCTGACATGAGGCTTGCTGATCCTAATCACAAGCTCGTTCCTGACCCCAGCCTGATCCTTCCACTGACCACTCACACCCTCCGGCCGCCTTACCGCCTTACCGCCTGTCTCTGCCTGCTGTCTTTCCGCTCCTATCAAAGCTCTGGAGTTGTGCACGGAGTAGAGAGCTTGGGAGAGAGATGAGGCCCACAGGACGAGATCCTTCGACATAGAGATCTGTATCAAAAGGACTCCCACATTCGCACTTGAAGAGTAGCTGGTGTCCAAATCGCCTCATCACTCTCCTTCAGAATAGGCAGTGCGTAATCGCCGTTGGACCCTGTTGCGTGCTAGGCGGGTCTGTGCTGGAACGCCATCAAGATATTTGCGATGGTTCATTGGATGTTTGCAGAAGCTATACAAGCTTCCCTATGATTCTTTGCATCTTTTCGCCCATGGGCTGAAATTAGTTCGTCTCCTAGATCATGGACTACAATAACCCATTCCGTCACCTTTCACCTTTTTCACCCTTGTTTTCAATCAACGAGCGAAGACCTTATATTTTGACGGCCCTCTTCGTACATAATTCTTTCATGTCGCTCCTGCTCTTCATTTTTCAAGCCTTTCTGCAACGGTCTCATCGCCGTCGGTACATAATCGTTGACTCGCCACCACTAATGTTGCAGCAATGTTTGAGATTCTAAGCAAGCGCGCCACTACAGGCGTCACAGGCGCCCTCCCTTACAACCCGGTTGAATATTGTATACTTGCGGCGGGGACAGCTATTGCCTGGGCATATACCATTGAACTCGATCTAGTCATCTTCTATACCTTCAGGCGTCGCAAGGGTCTATACTTCTGGTCGCTTCTAATCAGCTCGTGGGGTTGCACACTGCACGCGTTGGGATTCGTCCTCAAGTTTCTCGTCGGAACTTCATGGCTAATTGAACTTCCCTTCGTCGAGATAGGTAAGGCGAATAAATCCTATCCATTGACGGACCCTTATCCCGACTGACCATTCTCAGGATGGGTTGCAATGGTTACGGGCCAAGCCTTTGTGCTCTACTCGCGCCTTCATCTCGTCGTTCGCAACCAACGGACTCTTCGATATGTGCTCTGCATGATCATCTTTGATGCGTGCGCCCTGCACATCCCGACAATCATCTTTACGTATGGGAGCAATTCGCCCATGGCCAACTATTGGACGCCCAAGTTCAACATCATGGAACGCATCCAGCTTACGGGCTTCTGCGTTCAGGAGTTTGTCATCTCCACGATCTACATCACCTCAACGGTCAGACTCTTGGGATCAATCTACCACAGCATGACGCGAAAGGTAATGCTACAGCTGCTCCTGATCAACTGCATCTGTATCGGCATGGACATCATCCTCATTGGCCTCGAGTTCACAAACAACTACGTTGGCGAAGCGTCCATCAAACCTATGATTTACGCCATCAAGCTCAAACTCGAATTCGCCGTGCTCAATCAGCTCATGGGCCTCACCAAGGCCGGTTTCACGGAAGAAAACCAATGGCAAGGCCGGGAACAAGCCGCCAGCCATGAGCTTCGTAACCGCACTCTGGCCTCGCAAACGACAGCGGATCCCGAAGCAGGTCCACCCCGTAAAGTCGGCAATTGGACCAGCGCCAAAGGCATCCGAGGTTCCTTCTCCGGCGGTCGCATTAGCGTGACTAGGCCGGATGAAATCTTCAAGACGCATCAAGTCGATGTTGTCAGCGAGCCAAAACCTATGGATGAATCAACTACATCCTCTTCGACCGCGGTGACCGTCGGTGATACTGGGATCCCACCCAAGGTGAAGAGCCTAATGGGTACGCCGACTGTATATATGCCAGGTCGGCCATCAAGGCATTCCCGCGCAGATCCCGGCGGCCGGCAACACAGCCCTAGCGAAAGCGAGCAGGGGATTTGCAGAAAGAGCACAGATAGTGAGAAAGAAGGCACTAGATGGATTGACGGCGATGTGTCGACCGTCCATGGGGAATGATAATGAGGGGAATCCGCTATCTGGCATAGCGATAGCAAAACACTTGTACAAAGCATTCCATAGACACCGGCGATACCATGTACACTAGAGTACCATGAGTCTTTCTTTTTTTTCCCCCGCCGATAATGCAGGGCTCGGTAAGCGAGCTGAAAAATCAATCTTTCGTACCTGCATCCGCGCCTGCCTCAATGAGGAATCCATCTGGGCCCGCGGACCTTCCTTTCCAACAAACCCTCCTTCCCGGGGTTTTCAACATGCGTGCCTATCGCATCGAAAAGCCAGAAAAGACGCATGCATGCATGTAAGAGGTCATGGCGCTGCGGACCCACTCGACGAGCCCCCCCGTCTTTTTGCGGAGAAAAACCCGTTGAATCGGATGGCTTCTCAAGTTCTCACATACTTCATCCCTGGAGTTGCATTAGCGCCACTTCCTTCATAACAGGGGAGGTGATTGACTAAGGTAAAGTAACCGCTGGTACGGAGGGTGGCATCAAAAGTCCTGCACATGCGCTAAATCTCTTGGCATGCTTGGCAAATATTCTGAATATTTTGAATATCTTTAATATCACTACTTTTTACTTAATAGCGACGTTAATGCTATATATACGAGTATATATATATGAAGTATATATATACGAAGTATATACGCGTTATAGCGACGTTATAGTTATATATAAAGAGTATATTTATTAAATTATAATATTAATACTAAACGCACTAACTTATAAGAAAGAAGGAGAATCTTAAGACTTTATATTATATATAAAGTTCTTAATATAGCTATAAAAAGTAATCCTCTCTATATTCTCTATATTAAAATATCTATAAGTAAAGCTTAAGCTATTAATTATAATAACGATATTAGACTTTAAGTATTTATTTTAATTAAAACTAGCATTATAACTTAAATTATTACTACTATTATTAAGATCTCTTATTTTATTATTAATCGTCTATAGAAATAAGCTTATATTAGAGAATTTGATTTTAATAAATCTTAGAAATTACTACTATTATATGTGAGTAATATATTAAAATCTAGACGACTCTTAATTATTATTTTCGAGATTAAGAGTGCTATTATAGTCGCTATATAAAGAGATTACTATAATTATAAGAAAACTTTATTTATATTAATTACTAAATAAAAACTCTTATTAATAATAATTCTATATATACTTAAACGAAATAATTTTCGACCTTATAAGATTATTAAAAAACCCTCTCTTACGAAAGCTATAATGAAAGCTCGATATTAATTTACTTTACGATATTAAGATTAAACTATAAAGAAGTAAAAAAAGATAATTTAAAATAACGAAATTAGTATAATCTTAAATTCTTAGCGAGAAAAAGTGCGTATATAGTAATAATCTAATGAAATCTTTATTAAATTTACTATACGACGTCGTTTCGTAGATATTATAGAGTTTATATTCTAGAGTTATTTCTTATATAATAAAAAGAGATTATATTATATTTGAAAAGTCGAAACTATAATTAAAAAGAAAGAATATATCGCGAATCTCGCTAAAATTAATAATACTTTAGAAACTAAGATTAAAGAAGCTTAGAAACTTAAGATCGATATACGATAAATAGATTTACGAAATCTTTCTAGTAAGAAACCCGAGTGAAAGTTTACTACTAAGACTAAAAAGTTATTATTAAGAGAAGAAGAGGGGAATTAATTAGTATCGCTATCAGAAAAGATATATATATTTTATTTCTTATACTTTCTTTTACTAGATATAGATTCTTATTTTAAAGCTTCTAAAATTTATTTAGAAGTATAAATGAAGCGACTTAATATAATAGTTATAGAAGATAAGATCTCGATCTATATATTAAAGTATTAGAAAATAGTTTATATATTAATAAATATTATTTAAATAATCTAATATAATAACTCTTCGAATCTTAATATAATTAAGTCTTATTAACTATAAATAAAGCGTTAAATTACTTAAAAGATATATTAAGAACTCGTAAAGATATCGAGAAACGATAATTATATTACTAGAATTATGAGTTTATATAGAAGAGGATTTGAAGTAAATAGAGCGAATACCGAGATATATTATAAAGGTTATTCGTCTTAAAAGCGGTAACGAGTATGAGAAGGTTATAAGAGGGTAATATACGGCTCTATAACTCTATGAAGCGAGTAAATAAATATATATATAGCTATATAAAGCATTGTTACTAGAAAATAAAGCTATCTAAGAAAAGGTTAGATTTATTAAAATGCTAAGCATGCCAGAGATTTAGGTGTGTGGTTTTGGTGCCACCCTCCGTAGCCTGGCGGGGGAAGGTCAGCATTTTAGGTACCTTTAGGCTTTGGTGGGGTGGTGGATCGGCGCTTGATCCGGCTTTTGGTGGAACTACGGTACTAATACCCGGACTACTTTAAGTAAGATTAAGCACCGCCACAGCACTTCTGCGATTGGTGTGGCTGTACGGTTTTAGTAAGGTATGGCGTACGTTAGGCGCGGACCTTTACGCAAATCGTGAGTGGAGACGGTGTGGTTCGTGGGTTGACAGTTTGTCGGTTGGATGGTGTTGGGGTTGGTGATGATGGTTGTGGGAATACTGGTAGAGCAAGCTGAAGGGTTGGTCTGAGGTAGCTCACTGAGGGTAAAGTAGAGCTGTCCTTAGAGGCAATGAAGTAGGGGAGTTTCTTCGTTCCGTTTGATGAGTCTCGGTGGTCTCATTTTATGGGCATATATTGCAAGCATGAGCTTGCTTCGATCCCATCGCTTGATTCTGCCATCAGGTCGTCCTCTTTTGTTTCTTGTTGGTTGTGGATCATCGCGTCCTGTTTGCCTGCCTCTTTCATCTCTGCATGTGCGTGGCATTTGATGTATTCTCACTTCAAAATTCTTGGATTGGGCTTGTCTTACCGGCGAAGCGGTCCTTGGAGAGGATTCAATGCCGGGTAGGCTACAATGTTTCTCCGGATGCATTTGCGTCGTGATCGGCTGTGTTCTGGTGGGAAGTCGCCCCCGTTCTTCACTAGGTTCTCACACATAGATACGAGAAGTGTCCAGACTGGAAAGACACTCAGTTTAGTTACTATACAGATGGCGGGCATGAAAAAGGTGGCCATGGAGCCAATAGTGGCAACAAGGTTGGTTGTCCTCGATGATGAAGTCAATCACGTCAAAAGCAGCATAGTCACTGACTTCACTCACAAGAACTCCAACGTCCTTGCTTCAGACATGCTACCTAGATCACTCGCCTTCGGCTCCAGAACCCTACATCGCCAGGCTTCTTCGGCTTTATTGTCTCTTCGCCCTTCCACAATAAGCAACCATCGAGCTTCCACCATGCCCCTCTTCCGCCTTATCACCCCTGACGGTACCATCGAGTCTCACGACCGCGGAACGATCGATCGAGACGGCAGCATGGTGTTGTGGTGAGTACTGGCCGCACCCTTCTCGGGCATTTTCCCCCGGCCATCGCCAGCAGTCATCGACTTCATCTCTCAAGCCAGCTCCATCCTCAGAGGCGCCACCCGCAATGTGCCCGATCTCATCAAGCTCAAACCCTGTGACAGCGACATGGGCCTCGCTATCTTGGAGCAGTACAAGGAACGCATATCCGTGACACACGGACGAGAGGCCCAGCGTACGAGCAGTAGGGGACACAATACGGAACCTATCGCGCATCTTCCCCCCCGCAAACTTTTGTCCCGGCTCGGTCGGGACCGCCGTCGGCGGACTTTGCTGACGATATCCTTCCAGGCGATTTGTACCACGACCTCGGGCATTTCCGTCTCCGTGAGCGCTTCCAATGGAGCTAGCCTCGCTGAGTCGGTGACGCTGAGCCCGCAAATTCTCTTTACGAGGTCCCGGCGAATGAATCAATCAGTGGACCCCGGGGCCGGGGATCTCGCATTCGCTATACCATGTGGATCTTCGACCCGAAGCAAGGCTGCTCACGAGCGAGGCTGCCATTCCCCACAGCTGCCGTCGTCCGAACCCGTAGGATTGAAGTAGCTACTACGCGAGCCGAAGCAGCATGTCCACACCGACCATCATCATCATCATCATGGCGCGCCCGTTTCGCCAGTTGGTGGCAACGATTGGGATGTATGTGTGGGAGGACGTCTTGGACGTTTGGGCGGATGTTTGTGAGAGGGCGAGGGGGGCTTGGGTGGTGGAGGACGGTGCGGGTGGGAGGGGTTGGAGACGGTGAGGGAGGGAGAAGGGGGAGAAGGGGGATGTGCGCTTGAGGGTTGAAGGGGTTGTGGAGTAGGAAGTTGTGGGATTCTTGCGATTGGTTTTTGTTAAGTCGAGAGGTCGAGCTAAGCGTGCGTCTTTGTGGTTTGAGAAGGATTATGATACGATTGAATTGCTTCATCGTTCTCTTCTTTCAGAGATGCGGATATGCTCTCGCAGCATTACATCCTAATTCTCAAACGCTGTCACTGTTTCACAATTCTGGAGTTGTCAATCATACACTTCCATTCATTCAATCTCACGTCCCTCACGTGAGGCCCGAATCTAGACCCCCACCCCACTGACCCGCCTGTCAACTCAGATACCCCCCCCCCCACCCCCACACCCACCCTCCCTCCCTCCTCTTCCACATCCCCGACCCCAACCTCGACATGACCCTCTCTGACCACGGCCGCTATATTTCCCGCGCTCCGGTCTTAAACTGCCGCAACCGCGCCGTCGATGATGTGTTCATAACGCATCAAGGGCAGGCAAATCAACAATCCTGTGGGTATGGAAAAGAGCCAGTACATATCGGATCGATTGCGGTACTGGTACTGTGATATTGAGTGTGTCGCCAAGCTCAAGTATGACATGGGGGATGTGGATGGCAAGGGTGATGGGATTGGATATATTCACCAGGGATTTGAGACGGTGGAGATGCCTATGTATGTGAGGGGGAGGGCCGAGGAGGCGGTGCTTGCGTGAGAGCATTTGGCCTGTTTGAGGGGCCCAGGTGGAGGGAGTCTGAGCATTACTGGAGAAGGTGCTGGAGCGGTACATTATGTGTTGCACTCCCATGAGGTGCAGTGGTCTTGGCCCTTGTTCTAGTTCGAGTGGACTCGATTGGGGAAACGCCGACGCAAATGGTTATGGGGCATCTCTGCAAGAACACCCGCCCGGACCCTCTGCTTCCATACCCTTCACGTCGCAGTCCACGACCATTGCAGGATCATCGCATCTGAAAATTGTATGCCACAGCCTTTCGAGCGTGTGCCCAAATTTGGGATTGCTAGGTATGCTCTTCCCTCTGTCCTTCTCGAACCACGTCGGCTCAGGCTCCGAGTGAATCCAATGATCTGCGGATGCATCGACGAGGGCCTGAAGATATTGGTATATCTCACGGGGACGAGCAAGGACTCGTTTCCGTGACACGATGAAATGGCCATTGAAGGAAAGGACATGCCCTTGCAATCGCTGGCACACATCTCCTTGCAAGATAGAGTAGATCTGCGGCCACAGCGGATAGAAATCATCCCGGCCCATGTCTGTGCAATGGCCGCAATAGCAGATGTCATGCTTCCTGTCCATGCTCATGAATCCCGTCTCGTTGCCAAAATCAGCCCGGAGCCTATCTTGCAGCCACTGCGTCATTTGCCCAGAGCCTTCTTCCTGGGCCTTTTTGAGCTTCGCCTGGGCGAAGAGTGTGAATTGTGGCGGATCGTCGTAGACGCTGAGCAGATGGTGCAAGTAGGTGCCTCCTTCTCTCCCCACGTTGGGCAGCTGGATGACTTCATCCGCCCCACTTGCTTCCTTTATTGCCGCGAGCTCCATCGAACCCTTCGTGTAGATTATGATCCGCATTCCTAGCTCTTGCATGTAGGGTATCGAACGCAGACTGTCCGTCCAGACTTTGATGTAGTACGGCTCCTCGGAATGATGGGCAATGACGACGTCGAGTTGTGGTTTGGGTGTGACTAGGATCTGGGAGTCAGGGATCGCATTTGGTACTTTGTTGGGTTTAACGCCATCAGAGACTGTAGCTGATGTGCCCTTCAAGTCACTGGTGGTATGCAGCTCCTCCGAAGACGGTGCAATTGATGCATCGTTCAAGCCAGAAGAGGAGGTATCAAGGGAGGTTATATCAGACACTCTTTCCGAAGATGGCGTTGACTCATCCCCTGAGGCTCCGACATCGTGGTCGTAGGATTCCCGAAGGAACTTGGTCGGTTCGAATGTATGGGAGAGCAAGACCACCAGGAGGATGACTACAAATGTCCCGATTGCATATCTTAAGAGCCATTGCCTTCCACCACGGCTTCCTATCTTCATGGGTTGCTGTACGACTAAAACCAGTTTGGCGCGGAGTGGTGAGGGATAAGGCCAACAGGCTTGCAGGAGAGCCCTGTGCCAAGGCGCGCTAGCATTCCGGATCTACCACAACCATCTTCGAAACAAAGACCAAATCGACAGAAGACGCGGAAGACCTCTATGATGATGAACATATACTCGGCTTCACCCTCATCTGTAGTTCATCCCCATTTGCAAGCCCTGAAATCCGATAAACCCTGGGGGGCGGGTTATGGGGAGATAACCCCAAAAGCTCACCCCAAACCTACCATAGCCCCAAACCCAGGCGAGTTCCCCCGCCCACCGCTCGAAGAACTCGGATAGACTTAACTACACCTTTATATAGCTTTATTCAATAAAACTCCGGTTTCATAAATTCTTAAAGCTTTGAAAATGGTACTCTACTTGTACGTTTATATTTTATTTTCTCAGTTCTTTTACAATACTGACAAGAAACACCGGACTGTGAAATTTCGGAATTGAGTAGGTTCAGGGTGCGCTTTTGGGGTGGTAACCCCCAGAACCCGTCCCCAGGGTTCATTCGGATTTCAGGGCTTGCAAATGGGGGTAAATTGCAAATGGGTCTGAAACCGAGTAAGTCCAGATCCGCACAGGCCAGTGGTCAGAAATACTGTCAACCCTAGGAGCTCACGTCCTCTTATTTTTGTATACTTTCATGGGCATGAGACTGAATGGATTGACTGTTCATGTCACTTCTGGGGAACTTAGGATCTCAGCTAGGGTCTCCATGCACGACTTCTACTCAGTCCTCTTGTAAAGGCTATCAGGGCTAATCAACAAGATACGCTTGGGTGCAGTTGAGATGTTGAACAAGTGGTCCAGTGTCTAAACGGTACCTGGATACATTCTCATGTAAATGCATATCAATGTTTGAGCAAGATTTCAAATAGCTATCCGGTCAATATTCTATCTCATATAGCATATTCCCTGAATACGGCCCTGTCGACCTGCAAGTCCGTGGTTGCGATCGAGACGGCAAATACTACGTTATATGCTCGCAGGTATGTGTCACTGCACTGTGTCTTTCCGTGGTCTATCTGGGTCCCGCAAATCGGTGCTGTAGCTGAGGCACAAGCACGGTCCTGCCCATTCGGTCATTTGCGTTTCACCAGCCAAGGTGGAGAAGGGCAGAACGGCAGCAGCAAAGACCGAGCCTACGCAGCCAGTACTGGACGGCAACTTACAGGAGCAAGAGGACTGGGAGCAGGTCGTGAGTCATGAGGTGGAGGTGGATGACGATTGGATCAAGGTCTGAAAGATGTAGATGTCCGAGGAGTACCGTTGATAGTGGCTGATGGTAGGATCGCCGAAGTACCATCAAGAATTTGCTGACTCTGCCAGTCTCTTGCTTAGATCGAAAGGGTATCTGCGTTCTACATGTCCTACCGGTGCTTCGGCGAGCGAAGTCGATGTTTGCTGCAGCTTACGTGGCTGATTGTTCGCCAAATTTGAGCTGGTCGGCAAACAGTTTCTTGCTTAGATCAAAAGGGTAACTGCATTCTTCGTGTCAGATAAATGCTTCGGCGAGCCAAGTCGTTGAATTTTGCCTCGAGTTGACGTGGCCGGTTGTTTGCCAAAGTGAGCTGGTCGGCAAACATATTTTCGCATCCTACCATCCGTACAAGAACAGCAAAGTCTTCCTCCTTTCTACTTTGGTGATCCTTCAACATGTTTTTCCTGAGTCCGAACAAGGGCGGAGGATCATTACAATCGATGTTTCAGACTCGGTGGCTTGAATTATAAGCCACAGCGTCGTATTGCTCTGGCGAGATCTCTTGTGGGCTCTCGAAGAAAAAAGCCAACTCGGACCGATGAGGAAGTACTTCTTCCCGAATGGAACCTAGGTGGGTTTCAAGTCTGATGTTGAAGTCCACAATGCTTATATATCGAGGTAAATGTAGAGCAATAATGGCTCATCGATGTAAAAATGGATGGAAGCCGACGGCAACTTCGGGATTCATAGACCAAACCGTGGAAAATCGCCTGATTCGAAGCGTTGCAATTGTGAGTAATTACGAATCGGCAAGCTAGGAAGTCTGTCGTCTGTAGACCACTTCGAATTCTGGAAGCACGATCTACAAGACACGCAGCCTGAGTCTTACATCACGTTAGGAGCATACATGCCAAGTCATTCCATCAATACACACCATGAAGAGCCTAGAACATGAAGCATCGACCCCGACCAGGTCTTCGACCGAAGAAAATGCCACTTGATCTATCTTTTTGACCGAAATCTAAAAATATGCATGTAACGATTGAGCACCGATCTTGAACGAGAGCATGGACTCGGTAAGGCGTCATATCTCTTTTGCACAAGACTTTGTTCTGATGCATAATACGACTTGCTGAACACTACAAAGGTAGCGCATGAGCAGCTGTCTCCCAATCTGTGCTACTGTTCTACAGTCGTTCCCGTCGGTCTTCCCATCCATCTACCTCACCCAAAGTGACAGCGTTTTCTTGCGAGATCACCCCTCGACATGTCTATCTCAAAGGTTTTCCCCTCTGAATCCAGCGAGGCGCTCAATGTCCATCCAGTATTATCACCCGCGTCCAAGAAAGACCTCGAAGACGCACTAGATGAGACCATGTCTGCCGAAGATGCACAGAAGAAAGCCTGGGTTGAGGACAATCGGAGAGATCTCTTCAACGCTTTCGCAACATGTAGAAAAGTGGACCTTTCTTCGCATAAGAACATCGAGGTCTTCAGTGCAGTAGAGGGTACCGATGAAGATCTGCGTAAGAGCTTGGTGAGTACTGTTATCTTGGCGCGTTGCAACATACTCAGAGTGAATAGAACTGACGCTTGATGGAGAACAATATATACGAGAAATATGGCCCGTTGACCATGTTCGATAAAGGAGTTGACGGTTTGGCTCGCCATTGGGTGGTAGGATACCAGGTTCGTAGTCCCCACTCCGGAAAATGAACGCAATGTGCTGAGATAGCAATGTGGAAGTCCATGCGCGGGACACAGACGGTCCAGAAGGTCATGCTTTACGTTGAGGGAACCGAATGGACTCGCAGCTCTCGAGTCTTGGATAGCCTTACCGCCATGATCCAGGCGGAGGATGCCGGATTTCCAGACGACGAGGACTGGGCCGTTGTGGAGAAGCCGGTCGGGGGCCTTGGATTCAAGCATTGCAAATCCTGAAGCTGGCCCTCGAGAACTTGATATACTGTTTGGCGGGTTTGGAGACCGGAAGCGTTTGGAGTTTCCTCACCAACTGCTGCTTTGACAATCTTCATCCCACGCCTCACACGCCTCACACCTCACACGCCTCACACGCCTCACACGCCTCACACCCTCACACGCCTCACACACCTCGCACACCTCGCACACCTCTCACACCTCTCCCAATTTCCAAATATCTTCAATCCTTTTAACCTCACAGCACTAGAGGTGTCATAGATATGGGTTCTGGACCCGAGCAGACGGAATCCAGAGGGATACCCACGAGGAACTGCGGGCCGAGTGCCATGTCTTAGAAGAGGAGAGGCACGTCCTCGAAGAGAAAAATGAACGCCTACAAGGTCAAATTCACGCTGCCAATGCTCAGGTACAGGAGGATTGAGAAGTGGACCGTTCATCGGATTACCGGAATGACATCCAGAAGCTCAGTCGTGCCATTGACTCAAAGTCGCACTGAGCTAAGCGTGAACCGGTCGAAGAGCGTTTCTATCACGCCAGAACGAGGACGGAAGTCCGCTGTCTAAGAGACAAATGGGATATCACCTACCGAACTGCCCGGATCTTCAATCTCCAAAAGCCCGTAGGCGACCGTCCTATGCACAGTGGAAGGACCCATCCATAGGCAACAACCCACTGATGCTGAATCCAAAAGAATCAAGATTTTCTGGCAGCGTTTGGACGGTATTGACTCCATCCACGGGCAAAGTGTGATCCTTCGAGACATCAAACCCGCTAACATAAGCGTCGTGTCGTTGAGTCCTCTGATGGCAAGGTTGATTGATGTTGCAATCTATCCGTGGAGGGTGCTCGGCTGAGACGCGTGACAGAAGTTCGATTGTTGTTTCTATGTTTTTGTAGCTAGCAGGCGGAGAAATGGTGGCGAGGACTCAATTGGAATGAGAGCCCATTCAAGCGTACCTTCGCACAATCAAAGACTTGACTTCCAACCCATGCGCCGTCCGAAGATGCCTGTGACCAGGGTCATTGGGCTCGCCCGTCTGCCTCGCCACCTCCGATCTCGCGGAAACGTTCATTGCCCCCTGATTCGCCGCCTTGCTTATCTCTTCGGCGGAAGTATGTACCTCTGAAAGCGAGGCTCGGGTACGGTCGTCGGTGAAGGAGGACATGAGAAACGTCGGTAAATCGGCCTATCATTTTTCGATAAGATGTTACCACAGTGTATAGCGATGTGTATAACACAATTTACTTAACACTTTAGGATTACACATTAGGTTGTTATTTCTTTCCGTGTTAGCTCTTCCGTGCTTTTTCTTACCGGTCTCCATTTCTGGAATACCTAAATATCTGACCAAAGCCCATCTACGATCCTCCCAAAACACGCTTTCCAAGATGCCTGACAGTAGTGTCCCTCGCGAGTACGGCAGCAAAAAGCGTGACACAAGTTTCCCCCCAGTATCAGAAAAGAATCTCCAAGACGCCCTAATTGACGAGAAACCCGAGAGCCCGACCCCCCGAAACCATCAGAGCATCGCCTTGGACGCGCAAGTAGAACTGTCTCCCTCGTCGAGCTCCAACAAGCCTTGACCGATGAGAACGCATGGGCTGATCCAAAGGACTGCGTCGCTGTGAACGCTTGGGTGAATAGCCACGTAAAAGGGCTATACGAAGCGTTTGCGCGGGGCAGAAAGGCTGAGCTGAGCACGTGTGGGTATCTAGAGTTGTTGGATAGGTGCTTAGCAAAGGAAGGGATTAAGCAAGACTTGCGGTACACCGTGGTCGCTCTCCTTGTCCAGCGTCCTAGCACCGCACTAGCTGATGATCCGTCCAGACACAGATGTATGAGAAGTACGGCCCGCTTGTGTTGGTGTACAAGGGCCGTGATGCCTTGGGCAGACACTGGGTTTCGGGTTGGAAGGTGAGAGGACAAGGTTCTGTTTCGAAGACTCGGACTGACAAGTATGTCGATTGGACGCAATGCCCGAACAGCGTTTTTACCTGGCGGTGGTAATGTGCGTTGAGAGCGAGGAGGCAGGAAGCAAAGCTACGATGTTGGCTGCGTCCATCTTAGCCGACAGATAGCAGCCCGAAGGTAACGCGGACTGGGTGCTGGTAGAAGAAGAAAAGGAGAAATGGTTCAAGGGGTTCAAACCCTGACACTGGCCATTGGTAATGAGAGAGGCGCTTTAATGGTATCGTACTCCTGTGGAAGACCCGGAATGGTTTTTGAGGGGCGAATCACCGCTTAATATGTGGATAGAGCGAAGCCTGGGCTGTTAGTATTACACCATAGATAGAGTCGAAACGAGGCTGCTCTCGTCATTGAGGCAAGACCATAACAAAGCAATACAAACAACCGATTGTAATCCGGTAGGCAACAGAAGAATCGATATCGGACAGTACGGACAAAAGTGAGGGCTTAACCAAAGGGAGCTGGGAGCTGGGAGCTGCCTCCCTTACCCGAGGCTTCACACCACTGTGTAACACAACAACTCGCCACACCGAGAGCATAACACTTCCTCTGTTGTCATACATATATAATGGACATGGGAGTTCTTGCTACTTTAACTGTCTTACTAGCATTCATATTGGAGGAATCACCATACACAACCATGAACGATCATGCCTCCTCTTCTCGCTCACCCCCGAAGACATCGACCGACGCGGACCGTAGCTCCGATGAGTCCGCATCTGTTTCATTAGAGCAAGAGCTCGCCGCTTGGGGGAACGGCTACCAGGCTTGGGTGGACCGTAACTTACAGAGTCTCTTGAAAGATTTTGTGACAGGGAAGAAATCTAAAATAGGGGTTGCCATGTGCCCCAACACTGTCACTCGCTGCATCGCGAAGGAAGGCACTGATGAAGATTTGCGTTTCATCCTGGTCAGTATATCTGATCGTCAGAGATCGAAATTTGGAGTCAGATTGTACTAACAGTCATCCAGGGCAAAATTTACCAGACGTACGGCCCCATTCGCATGTACTATAAAGGGTGTGACACTTTGGCTAATCATTGGGTTACTGGCTGGGAGGTGAGTCTTCAGTATTTCAATACCCTCGCAGAGATTTTGTTTGACGAGAGGGCACTTCATAGACAGTAACTGGAGCACCGGATGTGCAAAGAGTTATGATATGTGTGGAGATGAGCGACAGGCCGCCAGTGTCGGAGAAGGTCGCTGCGATGATCAAAGCCAATGTTGAGAAATTCCGGCAAGATGTTCGGGACAGGGTGAACTGGGTGGATGTCCCCAGCGATAGCGTTGACCATGGATACTTATATTCTTTATTTTTTATATTCGATACATCGATTATAAAAAAGACGCTAAGATCTATTTTCTTAATTTTTATTTACATTATTAGCGACGTCTTAGCGCGCTTAACTCTCGAATATAGAAGTTATATTTATTTCGACGATATTAATTAAATTCTTCTAAGAATATTATCTCGCTTCTTATTAATCTATTTAATAGTCTATTATTTTATCGCGTAATCTCTAATAGCTATCTTAATTATCGATATTATTCTTATCTATATAATTAATAATTAAACTATTTTATTAATATTTATCTTTACTCTTTTATTATAAATTACTTACTCTCGCTAATTAATAATCTTCTTTATCTCTCTATTCATCTATTTATTATTATTAATATTAATATATATCGAGATCTAATATAATTCTATTACTATCTCGAGATATCTTAGCGAATTAATAATCTATACTATCTATATTATATAGATCTATTTTAAATACTTACTTAAGTCTTTAATAGTCTAAATTAATATTTAATTATTTATATTTACTATAACTCTATTAAGTTATAATCTTATTTAATATATAACTATTATAGTTAGAGCTTAAAGAATATTATATAACTTCGTTAAGTATATTATATATTAGTCGCTTAAGTTTAAATAGATATTAAAAGTAAAATTAATATCTAATAATATAGCTAAAACTCTTATCTTTTTATTAATTTCGCTATTATCGTCTATATATATTATTATATAACTCTTATTAATTAATCTTTTAGCTAGTTCTTTAACGACTTTTTAATCTTATAAATTATTATTTTAAAAGGCTCTTAATTAAGAGCGACGCTAAAAGAGCGTAGTTTCTTAATCTTATTAATATCGCTATATTATTCTTTAAATCTATTAATATATCGCTTTAGTAAACTTAGTTTTCTATTCTTCTTAGATTTTCTTTTAGACTTTTATCGCTCGAATTATAAGCTTAATAATCTCGCTATATATTAAACTAATAGCGATTTATAAGATAGCTTTTAAGATAATCTTATCTAGCTATTATTTAACTAATAGAAGATATACTTTTATATTAAGTACTAAAATAAATATAATCTTAAATACTTTAATTATCTTTCTCTTTATCTAAGATTAAATTCTTTATAATAATAAGAGATAAGTTTTATTATAATTAATAGTATTTTTTAAGCTAATATTATATTAAGTAGTAATATATTATTTATAAAATAATTACTATCTAATAGAGCTATCTTATACTCTTATAATTATTATCTCTATATCGATTCGATAATTCTTATTAATATATTAATACTTTTAATAGTTTTAGATTAAATCTTCTTATTATAATAACTCTATAGAAGTTTAAAGTTAATTTCGACTTCTAGATAGCGAATAAAGCGTCTTATCTTAATATATTATCTCTTATTAAGTTATAGAGAATAATTTAAGCTAAATCTCTATTTTCTATTAAGATATAGTAGTTAATATTTACTAAAATTAAACTTCGATTTATATTATAACATCTACTTTATATAAACTTCGTTATAGATTTTATAAAGAGCGTTATAGTTTTTCTCGATAAAGTCTTCTTATTATTAGAAGATCTATATCGTCTATAAAGTCGATAACTATTATTTCTAAATCGACGCGATTATTATATTTATTAATAAGATCTAAGTTATAGAAGAGATAAAGTATAGACGATAGCGATAATTCTTAAGAAATTTCGATTACTATAAGAGTCTTTAATATAAAGTATTCGCTTATTTTTAGTATTATTATTCTATTAAATAAGAACGATTCTATTTAATTAACTACTCTTATATTAATTTTTTACTTTTAAAGATTATAGAGTAATCGAGAATAAGAGACTTTATTATATATATCTAAAACGTCTAATAATAATATCGTAATTACTTTATTAGAGTTTTAGATTTAATATATTCTTTCTAGAAGATAGTAAATATCGTATTTATATAATTATAATCTACGGCCTCTTATATATATAATTAATAGAAGTTTATATATCTTTATAAGATACGCTATTCTTCTAGTAAGAATAAATTTTATTATCTTTTCTATAGTATTAAGTAGAGCTATTAATTAATATTCTTTAGAAATTAAATAATTCTTACTTAACTTCGAAAGAATAATTATTATTAATATTCTAAAGTGCTCTAGATAGTAGTCGTTTATTATATATATATTAAATATTCTATATAGATAAGAAAGTAATAACTTTAGAATCTTCTTAAGAATTAGATTAAAGATCGCGTCTTCTCTTGAGACTCTCTTTAACGATACTTACGTTATAGTCTTTCTTATCTTATTTATAATAATTATATCTTATTAGATAAACTTATAAATATATTATATTAATGCTAATATTATCTAACTTTATCTATATTAATAATAAAAAGAATATTTTTATAAGAAGATCTACCTTCGAGTCTAATTCGTTATATTCTTATTTATCTTTATTAAATAGCGAAGAAAGATATATCTATATTATAAGTTATTTTCTAATCTTACTTAATCTTTTTCTATATTATTTATAACGACTTATATATCTCTATTATAAACTCTCTAAACGCCTTTCTAATAGTTCTCTTAATTAGATTATTTTTAAAGTTCTTAACGACTTTATACTTATCTTATACTTTCTTTAAAAGCGTTATTCTTTAGCTTCTTTTTAGCGATTTATAATATTTTTATACTTTCTTATATTCTAATATAAATCTTAATCTAGATTATAGCGATAATTTAATAATTAAAGTAAACTTCTTTATAGTCGCTTAAATAGAGTTAATAATAGATTACTATTTAATAATCGATATTATTATTAATAAGATTTTTATTATTTCTCTAAGAAATTAATTAGATACTCTTTCGATATTATAGCTCTAGCGAGTATCTCTCTTAAAACCTCGATATTTAATTTATTAAAGTTTCGATATATTATTAATATTAACTCTATTATAACTAGCTTAAACTTTATAAAAATTAAAAGATAATTAAATTCGCTTTCGAAATTGTTTTCGATATTATAGTTAATAATATTTATTATTAATACTAAAGTAGCGAATAGTAGATCTATTATTATTTAATAGTTTTCTTTATATATTATTATTTCTATTAATAATACTTATTTTATAATAAATTCTTTCGCTATAAGTATTAGTTCTTCTACTCTCTTATCGATATAAGTATTTAATTTCTCTTATATTATATAATAAAGATTAAAGTCGCCTAATATAATCTATTTATTATTTTTAAACTTTATAAGTGTCTTATATAATTCGTTAAGTTCGTTTATTTATTAATTATCGAGATTATAGATATTATATATATATATAATTCTATTATTTTTGAATTTAATATTAAGAGTATAGAGGTTTAATAAGTAATATAATAAATATTATTACTTTAATAATATTCTCTTATTAATATAGAAGTATATTTATATATTATTATAATAGAGATAGATTAAGTTAAATCTATTCTTTAGAAAATAATATAATATATTTATATTAATATTTCTTTAGAGCTTCTAAATTACTACTATATCGATATTATAAATCTTTTTATTATCGAAGAGTTCTATTATAATTATTTTAAATTTTCTTATATTATATTATAGTATTAATAGCTAATTAAGATATACTATTATTTCTTAATATTATTATTAATATTACTTACTCGCTTCGCCTAGTTTATAGAGTTTATATTCTCTTTCTAAGTATTCTTCTTTTCTTAATTATCGATAAATCGAATATATCTCTTTTTATTTTTATTAACGAAGATCGTAATTCTCTTATTATTACTCTTTTAACTTAGAGATTATCTATTATCCTCGAGATTATTAATTTTCTCTATCGCTATATTATTCTTATATTATTTAGCTTTATCTACTACTTTAAAGAGTAATCTATTTCTAAATAAA